CCTCCTCCACCAAACTTTACTGGGGGGGTAGCATTCTCCTAGCATCTGGCAAACCCAGATTTGTCATTCAGACTGCCAGATAGTATAGAGTGATTCATCACTCCAGAGAAAACGTTTCCACAGCTCCAGAGTCCAGTGGAGCTGTGCTTTACACCAGGCCAGCCAATGCTTGGCACTGCACATTGAGATCTTAGGCTTGTGTGCAGTTGCTTAGCCATGGAAACCCATTTAATGAAACTCTCGATCCACCGTTCTTGTGCTGACGTTGTTTCCAGAGGCAGTCTGGAGTGAGTGATAAAATAAATGGGTGATTTTACACACTATACACTTTAACACTCGGCTGCCCTGCTCTGAGTTGTGTGGTCTACTTGTTCATGGCTGAGCTGTTGTTGCTCTTAGATGCTTCCATTTCACAATAATAGCACTTACAACTGACCAGAACAGATCTAGCATGGAAGAATTTTTACAAAGCTACTTGTGGCAAAGTTGGCATCCTATGACAGTGCCACATTTAAAGTCACGAAGCTCTTTAGTATGACCAATTCTACTGCCAATGTTTGTCTGAGGAGATTGCTTGGCTATGTGTTTGATTTTATACAGCTGTTAGCAGTGGGTGTTACTGAAACACTAAAACTTAATAATTGTCCGTATACTTTTGGCCAGATAAAGTAGATTTATTCTGTAGATTATTTGGTAGCGGAGGCCGTCTGCTGCTCAGCTGTCATAATCCAAATGATAAATATAGTTCTACACTATATGTCCAGAAATATCCAGGCACTCCTGCAACAGGCAATAGAGTGGGATGCTCCAGAGCAGATGCACATGAGCCTAAGGTCACCATACACAGTGCCAAGCATAGTAAAGCAGTGGAACTGCATTCTCTGGACTGATGGAGCTCTAACAAATACATTTGGGATGATGCAGAACTAATCATCCAATATCATTTATGTGACCTCACTAATGATGTTTTGTCTAATGCAAACAAATCCTTACAGCAATGTTCCAATCTGGATCATCTGTTGTCATAGTTTAAAAAAGTAGTGGGGACTGAATACTGAATACGCTATCCTAAATGTGTTCAGTTCCATTACAATACTTAAAAAGTAACGTATTCAGAATACATTTAGAATACATTTACGCTACATATCGGTGAGGCACATGGGAATAACTTTTTTTTATTAATTCACAATGTTCCTCACTGTTAGTGGTTGGCAATTATCTTAATGCAATTATTTTGTCACAAACATGTCTACTTCTGAGGAAATTATTATTTTGATCATCCTTCAAAAGAGCTCATTAATGCTGATATTAATAACTGGCTCATTACATTGATTTATCAGTCTACTCAGGCTTTAATAGGAACTTCACTGTTTGTAAAGAAGCTGTTAATTGAAATTCTTTAGAATTTGGCTCACAAGCATGTTTGCTACATGCTGTGCACCAATTCTGTAATAGTTAATAAACAGGCATTGATGGTGTTTCTTTTGAAGATTGTATTTTTTTTCTTTTAGTGGATAAGTATTCTAAAAGTATTCTCAGAAAATGTAAAAAGTATCTGTATTCTGAACACTGCCTTTACAAAATGTAACTTGGACTGAAATACAGATACTTAATTTCTGTATTCTGAATACATATTCCCAATACCTGTTGTTCCATTAAACCCCAACCCTGTTTATTGTAGCCTTCCCAGAAGAGTAGAGGCTGTTACTGCAGTAAAGGAGGAACAAAATCCAGATTAATACCCTTGATTTCTGAACAAATGTTGGATAGGTAGGTGTCTACAAACTTTTGGACATTTAGTGTAGCATGGGTTGATTGACAAAAATCTATCTGACTTAAACTACAGACTGATAGATGAATGTAAAATTACTGTAACATTGCACTGTTACTGGTGTACGGACTCATCCATACTCTCTTGGCTCAGAAGAAGAAGTAAATACTTTTCTGTCATTCATTCATTTCTAGCCATTTAAGTGAGTCATTCATCTACATGATGTTACTCATCTTAATCTCAATGTACTACCACTGCTAATCGCTCTTTTTCTTCACATTTTTAACAGAAGTGTCTTAAATATCAGCTACTGTGGCTTCTCTGTCAGTGGACCAGCCACAGACAAGTCATCAGACAGAGAGGCGGGGGAACTTCTTTTTTTCTCTGTCGTTCCAGACGATTCTCCCCAGTGCCTCCTCTCTTGAGAATTTTCTCACTGTTCTCCTGTCATCCATGTTTCCCCTGAGGGGAGAATGCATCATGCAGCTCCGCACAGTCACTGCAACTCTGTCACTTTTTATCAAGGGTAAATTCGAATGAACACATTTTCATATGTGTGTTTAAAATATTACGAGCCAAAAAATATATTTTGATATTTTGATCATCTGCTTGATCTGCAGGTTTTCTGATGGTATTGCTGTCAGAATCACTCAACACTTTTTAGTGCACATAATTCTTTGTGTCTGATTTATTTAGCTATTAAATTTATCAGAATGTAAAAAGCAATCCAATTTTTTTCATTCTGATTAGACAACTATGCTATATCACTAAAAGTCTGTAGACACCCCCCTCTAATTAGTAAATTCAGCTACATTAAGGTGCCCACATTGTTGACACAGGTGTTTAATTGCGCACACACAGTTTGAATAATCTCCATATAAAAAAGCGCTGCTAATAGAATGGGGCACCTGAAGCAGCTGCACATAAGCCTAAGATCACCATCGGCTAAAGGGGTATAAGGCCCCTCCAACAATGGGCTGAAGAGCATGTGCGTTCTCTGTAGTGACGGAGCTCCACCTTATCTTTGGGATGAGTTGCTTTTGTGAACCAGAACTAACCATCAAGCATCAGTGTCTGACCTTACTAATGCTCAGAATGCAATCAGATCCTCACAGCAATGTTCCAACATCCAATGTAAAGCCTCCCCAAAAGAGTAGAGGATGTTACTAAAGCAAAGGAGGACAAACGCCACATTAATAGCCTTGATTTTACAAGAAGTATTGGATAAGCAGGTGTCTACAAAGTTTTGGACATATAGTGTATGACTATATCACCACATCAGTGTTACTGCAGTGCTGAGAATGATCCACCACCCAAATAGTACTTGCTCTGTGATGGTCCATGGGGGTCCTGACCACTGGAGGACAGGGTAAAAGGGGGCTAACAAAGTATGCAGAGAAACAGATGGACTACAGTCTGTAATTGTAGAACTACAAAGTGCACCTATATAGTAAGTGGAGCTGATAAAATGGACAATGAGCGTAGAAACAAGGAGGTGGTCATAATGTTATGCCTGATCGGTGTATATTTAGTCTAATACCTATCAGGAGAATCACAAAAGTGCAAATAATATTACCTGCGTCATGCCAAAATGTAACATTTTTCTATTTTGGAATTTAAAATTATGTTGATGAAGCAAATTAATCCCTTTTTGTAGTTTGGCATATTAAATACCTAGTGAGTGGTGAGTGGCCCTAATCTTTCTTCAGTCGTTTTATTCTCTTGTGAGAAACAGTACACAAATATTTCATTGACAAAAGTCTGAACGATAGCTTTCATTTAAAGGGGAATTACACAGATTTTTCCAAACATCTCTGTAATTCAATAGTGAAAGTGTAAACAGTAATTCAGAGTGGTTTTAGGTGAAATATGCTATTCTAGAGAAACTTACCGAATTGTTCACGGTGGTGATGGTAAGAATCAAATGTCCAAAGCATTTAGTGACTCTACAAGCTCCCTCACAGAAAGTTATCACATGAAGTGGTTATGAATACACTAGATTGATTTAGCACTGTTTTACCATTATCAAAGTTACTTACAGAAACTTAGAGGATACATGAAGCATCGCTGGTCAATTTAGATAGTAAATGAAATGGCTATATTTGCATAGTAAACATTGTGACCCCTAAATATCAGTCTGCCAGTTTCTCTACAGTGAACCATTTCACATGAAACCACTCCAAATGACTTTGTTTACATCTCAACTACTAAATAATGCAGATTTTTCTTTCTTTCTTTTTTTAAATCAGTGTAATTAATCTCCCTGCAGGTTTAGTTGGACTGAAATATGTACAGGATCCCCTTTAGCAGCCTAGCAGCTGGAACAGTAGAGAGTAGATCTGATTTGAGTTGTGTAGTTGTGTGAGTTAGTTAGATTGAAAAATACACCAAATCTCACTTTTCAGTCTAATTATATTCCTAGTGAGTTACTCTATAGACTGTATTTGGTGGATGTATTCTGCGGATATGTTGTCTTAACAGTTATTTCTATAGATAAAGCGTTTAAAGCGCTGTTCAGTAAATTGCTGTACACATTTAGTCAGTTTCACTGCACAAAAGAGATTCCCTTTAAAAACGCCTCTCAGAAACGGTGCTTTGTGGCTGACAGTTCACTCCGAATGACACGCCCCGCTCACAAATGCCACTCGTGGATTGGTTGGAATTTCTCCAGTGGCTTTTTGATTGGCTGCGGGCCTCGAGATTCCCCCCCAGCGCTGCGAGAGTTTCCAACGCTGCTATTCCGTTACAGTGTGGCAAAATGGCGGCTGTCATTCAGAATCCACTAAACGCGTAAGTAATTAAGAGATTATTTACCGGAGCACAGTCTCCAGACCTCAGCACGGCTCAGCGCAGCTCGCGTGAAAAAAAGTACAGCAATGACGGCGCAAAAGGGCGAACGCTTGTCGCCGTTCGCTTTCGACACTGCAACTGTGCTCTGTGCAGTTTTTCTTAAATTGGGCTCTTTATCGCTGCCGGACGAGTCGGTGTGTCTGGTGGCTGTTTAGCAGCGGCTTCCAGTTTTTTAATAAACAGGACTCGCAAAATTAGAGCCGACAGCAGTTTAACCGAACGTTGTCGTAGCTAACATGGTAGAATAAGGTTAGCGGCTTCATTTCCGAGGAATGACATTATCAGAGAGTGATTTTAGGACTTAATGGAAGTATTGGCACCCCCCGGTGATCCATCCGTAAACGGCTGCTGTGAGGAATTTGCCTTTACATGTATTTAGGGTCTGAAGCGGCGCTGGGATGATGTGTGTTTGCAGACAGACGTGCGTTTTGTCTTTTTTCCTTCAGAATGAAGTTCATAGCTAGCTAGCGAACAAACACAGCTAGCTACCTAACCTAGCTAGCTCGCTAGCTTACAGTCGACGGTGTGTTTATGTCTTATTTGGCCACAAAGAGTAGGAGGTTTGTTGAAGCCTCAGTGATGTTCGCAGTTTGGAGGTTATAATCTCTCCCTCCCGATATTTACATTCTGGTAGTTGCCCAAATTGCATGCCAGGCATTAACTGAATACCTGAATGCAGAATACCGACGTGGTCCTTTTAGCTTGTAGTTTCAGAAGGGCAGACTACCTCTTAGCCGGAGAGTCTCTCTGGATCTGTTTTACCTATGGACGAGAAAAAGACTGACATGCTTTGTGCTGTGGGTCATCATTGATATGATCATTGAACTGCTGTGATGAGATTATTGGCACAGACAGGCCAGGACTAACCTTTAGCTTTAGAGGACCGGTAGATTATCGTGAGCTGTGGCCGTCACTGGACGGCTGTATAGAGGTGCAGAGGGCAGGCAGGAGGTCCATCTGTTAAAAATCACAATTAACCATAATACACATCCTAAACCACTTCCCTTCCGCCTCAAATAAACAAGGCCGGTACTCAGATTCATTTGATGTGTTCCCCGAAGTGAAGGCAGGGTCTTCTCCGAATTTAATACCCTTCACACAGAGATGGGCAAGGCTCAGTCTTATGTTGTTTTGGCGTCATCAACACAACATGGACCAATGTGAAAATTCTGGGTCAGTACCGATGATTGATACTTTCTTGTTCATATTGATAATAATGCAGGTGAGCATATTTTACAGTGCTTGCGCTTAACATACTTATTCTTAAGATAAAGTGCCTTGAATATCTTTACTGTATAAAAAACAGTGTGAAATATCTTGTTTTGCTGTTAGTAAAATAGATGTCTGCACAACCACAGGGAACGTCTGCTCATGAAAATGAACTGATGAATGCATCTGTCTTTTGGGGCCTAAGACTGAGTCAGATTGAGATTGAGTCTGGTTTCATTTTGTTGGTTTAGAACACCATATATATCTGCTAACACCAGCGTGATGCATAGTGTGATACATTTATGTCTGTGAATACCACCTAATATGGTCATCCACTGTGTCCAGGTAGTTATGTGCATTTGTGTACTTGCATGCACTTTTTCATTTCATAAACATTTGCTGGCACTGTCCGAAACTCGGGCCCTGTCTTTCTGAGGAAGTAGAACCTCAGTGGCATTATCACATCAGACTCTTTACCTGGCAAGTCAGAATGAGGCAAAGTAACACTCCAGCCAGTGGCATGCTCCAGAGGGAGTTTCTCATTCCTGCTATTGTGTTACAAACAGCATTATAAGTGAGTAAATATTTGCACTTCTCCCCATTATGTTCAGTGTAGATACGACGTTTGCATAGGAGTTTTTGGACAAGGAGAAAGTTCTGTTAGTAAAGGGTTGGTTGATGTAAAGAGCTAGGTTTAGTGGTTTAGGGGCTGAATGTTTTTTTTCCTGCTTCCTGTTCCTGTTGTGTTGACTCTCTTTGAAATTGTCTTCATGTTAAGGAATCGTGTTTCATATTATGATTTCTGAAGTGGAATCCACTTTTAAAATCTCAGTGCTAAATTCCAGGGTTAGTTGCTTGTCAAAGTGTGCACCAAGTTTGGTGCCTCTAGCATACATGAAAGTCTTCCACGCAAAGTCCATAATTCAGTGTGCTTCTTAAACGTGTAGACGTTTGGAATTTAGCCAGCATTCCCCAGGCACTCCGTAGCTGGACGGAATGAGAGCTGTGAAGTTGTGGTCACGTGACCTTAGGATAGGGAAGTAAACGGCTCTTGTAGTAAAAAGATAAGGGGAAACAGACGGAAAGAAAAGATGTGCAGTTTGAAGCAGGCAAGCTCTAGAATGGTGTGAGAGAGTATGTTTGCATTGGAAGGAATGTCTTTCATATTGTCAAAAGTAGCAGTGGATTCTAGATAAACTGGTGGACTTAGCAGTTAACTTCATTACTCCTTTGCACGTTTACAAAGTTCACAGAAATTAGAAATGTGCAGATATATCATGAAAAATCTTTTTAGAACTGTAAAAATTTGCAACTTAGCAAATCACATAGATGTAGAATAGGGATGTGCCAATCCAATTCAGTGGATGGGGACCAAAGCAGATCCTAGTATATTTTACTGGACCAGGTATCGACTATGTTAAACACAACCCACTTCTGATCGTTTGTTTTTATTTTGCGTTCTATTTATGGCACTATTGCAGTGGTGCCAAAAATGGACATTGTACACAATTTCCGGCAGTGAGGCACGTTTTCAGGTGTTAACAAAGTGGTCTAAATATCTATAGAAGCAAACGTGGTGGCCATGCTATTTCTGATTTAAAACTAAAATTAACAGCAACAGCTCGTTCAAGGGCCCAAGAGAAAGGAGCAGACTGCGTTGCGTGTTAGAGCAATGTGAAATTTTATGAGATGGCATATTCACTGCACTACTATCAAAATGGGTCTTGCAGTAGTCCATAAAAAGTCTGATATTGGAGTTTATATCATTGATTTTACTGCAGAATTTTAAAGTGATTGGTAGCCAAATTATCTGGGGGGGTCAGTCATACAGGATCATAAGAAAATTACACACACTAAAAAGGTAATATAAAATGCAAAAACAAATTAGACCAAAACAAACAATATCAGTTCAGAAAGTCGCACTGTGCACAGTGTTAATAGGCAGGCTAGCATATCCTGTCTAAATTGAGGGGCTGTATTACCGGTATATTATAAAAAACAGAAAGATCGCATTGATATTGGCTGATACTTAAATTTAAAGTAGTCAGTTTGGATTGGCCGAGGTAGAACAAACACTGCATTGGGACATCCCTACTCTAGAAGGTTCATAAAATTGCAAAAGAGACCATCAGTGTTCAGGCACGCAGAACGTTTGGCTAAAAAAATTCAGAAAAATCAGTTCATATTGACGTCAGCTCTGGTGTAAGATGTCAGTTGCTTTAGCTTTTTGCACTATGATCCAGTGGTCACACCATTGACCAGGTCATCTAATCCGGATTTCAACTGCAGTCATGAAGAAAAGCTATAAATTGTAGGAGTTGTAAGAGTGGGAGTAACTTTCAAAATGACAGTCAGCTGGAGGGAGAAACAAGTGAGGAGTGGGCAGTAGGAAAGGCAGGCACTAGCAAAGCAAGATGGTTCAGACCGATGATTTTGGCAGTCTTCAGGTCTTTGTTCACGCAGGCTTCAGCATCAGTTGTGCCCTAACTGTCACACATTTTCATGCTTATCTCCGTTCATGCCGGCCCCAGCTGGAAAGCACTTTACCAGTGGCTTCTAGCATTCAAAGCTTTGTTTTCTGGTTTATCTTCCAGCCTCGCTCAAGCAAACGTCATAGAAATAGCAGTGTTGCCTGATCTTTCCTTGCACAGAAAGTCAGATCTTGCAGTGGGCATATCCAGTTGCACTTAAGTTCAGTTTTTTATTACCAATTTAAGACACACACAACATATTTAAATTTGTAGTACGTATGGAGTAATGGGTGAACATGAAGATTTGTTTGCTGTCTATTTTAGTATGAGTGGGGGATGGAGTTGACACTATCAGATTGAAGCCTTAACACCCTGACACACTGGGTTTGGCTGAGTCATATCACAATAATTGGTTGCAGAGCTACCAAGGTTGCACTGTGGTCTGCATGGCTTAATAGTGAATAGCAAGCTTTAACTGTTTAAACGTTCTAATCTCCTCAGAGTTTGCACTATTCTTCCAGATTGTTTACATTTTGGTTTTTTTTTTGGTTTGCACTTCTTTCTGAACTCTTTGGTGTTCGCATTTGGAGACGTTTTATGCGTTATCCCTCAGCTTGCATTGCTGCAGCTAGACTGACTTCCTGTTAAAACGCCAGAATGCACCTGCACGGTCTCAAGAGATACAGTCTGAGTCTCACCGCCCAGACTGTGAATTCACTGGTGGGAGATACGCCAGCATTGATACAGAAAGTGTCAGTTTCTCATGTGATTAAACTGTACTTTTGTTGTCTGTTCAGTGCTTTCAAATTCTTATAGACACACTCTGTGTTCTGACCCCTTTTCTCATAATTGGATAGTTAGCCAGGTTCTAGGAATAGTGAAAAAAAGGTATAAACATGTTATAGAATGGTTGTTCAAGGAAACCGTTATCTGCTGGTTCTTTGTGGTTCCGTGGTTGGAAACGGATGGTCCGAAGGGGTGTGTGTGAGCATGTAGGTGTGCGCCTCCAAACATGCAAAACAAATTTATGTAACTCCAGCATGGAGAGATTGGACTCTGACATGTGACGCAGTAGACAGTTGACAAGACCGCTCTGCTAGTGGAGGCCACAGACAATCAGCAGATTCATTCAGTTTGCCTGTCTCACTCATGTAGCCTGTCTGTCTTGGTGCACTTCTAGGAGGCAGCATATTAACCCTAGCAGCTATCACGCAGCTTCTTCAAGAAACAATTTTAAGTCACTGAGAGATCTTTCAGACATTAAAGTGACGGTGGCTCTTGAAAGCGTCAGTAGAAAAGATTAATGGACAGTGTCTGCCCTTCAGCTGGCCAAGTTTCTATTATTAAAGAGGTTTCCCTTGGCTTGTGCAGGTATTCTGGAGGCTGACAGCAGTGCACAGAGTAGTGTTTCCTCTCTTTGAATTTGACAGTTTTCCTTCTATTAGCCTAACTGTCTGCCATGATGGCACCAGTTAGTGAAACTTGGAGCACTTGTATGAATTTAGAGACAACTGTGGGAATATGTTGAAATATGTGTTCTGTATTTTTTTTGTTCTGTATTTGTTTTTTGAAAACATTTTATTTTTTATTTTTATTTTTATTTTTTTTTATTATTTTTTTGCATCCACGTGAAAATGATGCTTTTTAAAAACACTTTCCAAAGTGGAGATTTTTTAAACCTGCATGCACCTGCATTGGCATTTTCGTGTGGATGAGCAAAACACTGACCTTGTGCCATTAACATGCTTGTTTTCAAACTAGTTAAATTACAAACCATAAACGGTGACTCTGCCAAAGTAGATATTTATATCGGATAATCATAATACTTGTGGGAGTATAGTGTAGTGGTTGACCAATATGAGTTTTTCAATGACCGATGCCGATATTTAGAGAGCAGAGTGGCCTATAGCCGATATATAATGCTGGTGGGTCAGTGATGTATAAGCATTTTCAACAGGCTTTCAAATGTTATTTTAATGTTTTTTTCATCTAGATGAAATGGCTCTGGCCTTAAAAAACGTAATGTGGTGCGACCATGATTTATTTTAAAAGTAATTCATTTCCTTGACACATTTAACTTTTTTTTTTATAAGTTCTCAGTAATATAAACTGTTTAGAAACAAAGCATTTGCAGTACTTTTGAGTTTTATAAATAATCTCATATTTTTGTTCTGTTATGTCACAGTCACCTTCTTAAATGAAGTGACAGACTTCCTGCATATTGCATAAAACTTGTAAAACTTTTTTTAAAAAGCCATTAACTCAAACATACCGTATCAGCGATTAACATTTCAGCCCCAGAAATTAGATATTTTATTTTAAATTTAATACAGTTGTTGCTATTATGTGTCGCAAAACATGATGAGAAGTTGCTTCAAAAGACATGAAGACCTCATATCATTAAAAATCCTTTTAAAAAGATCAATAAACAGTAAATTCCATAGAAAAAATAGATTTGAACCAGGTTTATCATGATTTCAAGGACCTTTTTTTTACTAAAAGTCTAATCACAAATAACTGTAAGTGCAGCACATTCATGGCTTTGTTTAGAACAAACATTTTATTTAACTTAACAATGGAATAAATTCATTTTGATTTTCAGATCATTTTGATCAGAACCAAGTATTAGCTATTGTTTTCATGTAATCATGCCTTATACCAGTTTTAATTGAAGTGCACATTTGTGGCCTTGTTGTGAATAAACATTTCATTTCAAACTTGACAGTCGTCATGCTGCTAATGGGTATTTGGAATGTACATATGAAAGTGGGGCTTGTGATTGACCCTGTGTATGTTTATTTTAAAACATTTGCAAAAGTTTTCATTTTTTAAAGTTACCTGCTTCCATTGTAAATTTTGTTGTTTGTGGTTTTTTACATCCACAATCGGTCCAATTAATTGGTTGCTGAGCACAAATGTGATTAATCCTTTAGGCTTTCTTTCACTTTTTAAACTTTTTAATTTTCTGGCAAAAACCAGACTCTGAATCTGTGTAAAATATCAAACTACAGAGGTCTGGAGGCATGTAGTCAAACGTGTTCGTCTCATCTTCAGCTTTGTTCTGTAGATTTCGAATGTACAAACGCACCAGTCAGACAAGGCATGTTTGCTGTCCAAAGTTTGCTTTCTTTGTTTTACACTGGAGCTATAATGCTAATATAATAGAAGTCTGTGTCACAAAAAACATTTTAGGTGACCTACACTTCCATTACTTTTTAGCTACATTAGCCTCATTGCTCCAGTGTGAAATATTTTATTGTAGTTTCGGCAAGAAGTGTCCAATCTTATCTGCAAAGGGCCAGTGTGGTTGCAGGTTTTCATTCTAAATGAGGACCTGATTCTGCTTTTTTGATTAATTGCTCAGTCTACAAACAGCTCAGACATACACAGAGACAGAGAAAATACATGAAGAGATGAGAGAAAATCATCTGAATGAAAACAGGGAGGGAATAGGCATTGGAGTGTTTTTAATTATTTTCTTTTAAATAAATAATGTCCAGACCCCTCCTGTTTTAGTTAAAGTAATATTAAATGATGGATGTGAACCATTAGCACTAGCAGATATTAGTATTATTGTATGGTGGTACTTGGCTAAACAAAGTTGAAAAACCTTTTCATTTGCACATTTTTATTCCCAGATTTGTGATTTTACTGTGATGTTAATTTGATAGTTTGAAATGAAAGTATCAAATTACATGCTAGACCTATGTTATTTAATACTATTCACACAATACAGTTCAGGTTATAATGGAAAAAGAAATGAAGATGTAATTTAAGTATCACAGTATGTTGTTTCAACAAAGTTAAAATGAATTATTTAAAATAAAACGATGTTACTCTTGAAATCAATTCACAGCCATAAGGCAACTTTGGGTTTCAAAAGACAAACCCAGGTATGTTCACTGTCTCTCGTTAGGTTGGGTGACCAGTTCTACAGAGAGGCCATTGAGCACTGTCGCAGCTATAATGCTCGACTATGTGCTGAGCGCAGCGTCCGCTTGCCGTTCCTCGACTCACAAACTGGTGTTGCCCAGAACAACTGCTACATCTGGATGGAGCGTCACCATCGCGGACCAGGTGAGTACTAATAACAATATAAGATCATTGTCCACCACCTTCAGGTTTATATGTTGACAATATTGTCTTGTGGAATATTTGTACAGAACTTGAATGCTAATCTCCTCACTGATCATGCTGGATATTGTTAATGTTTTACTGTTGGACATCAAGCAATTTGAAATTATTTCATGATTGCCTCAGGTTTGGCAGCAGGCCAGATGTACACATACCCAGCCCGCTGCTGGAGAAAGAAGAGGAGATTGCACACTTCCATGGATTCAAGCCTTCATCTTTATGGTCTACATATAGGTAAAAGCTTCCTGCCATCACTGTAGTCCTCCCCTGTGATTACAGTAGTTCAGTCTTCAGTGTGTTAAATCAAGCAGTTTATACAGCTTCAAAGCTTCAATGCTTCAGTTAACAATTGGACACTTATAGGACTGGGACTAAAAAAATGATCAATTGTGGTAAAATTATTGATAAATATCATTTTTTATTATTTTATAGCCCAGTTATTTTAAAGCCTAGTATTTTGGTGGAAATAGGGGGTTGCAAAGCCTGGCAAAGTCATGACCACTAAACTAAAACTGAGAAAGAAAAATGTTGTATTGTGGCAGCTAGCACCACTGTGTGACACTCATTCACAGCCTTGCTTACAATACAACTCGCTGCTGTGTATGGGTCAGTTAAGAAAACTGCAGAACTTCAGCTTCAGGTAACAGACTGGAGCAGAAAATGTGTATTACTGCAAAAAACAACTGCCTATTGTTTCCACTGTTATCAATAAATCATTAAATGGTCCCAACTTTAGATGTCTGAAAATTCTTGTATGTTTCAGTGTCATTGTATCACTGGGAATCATGTGATTGATTTGTAAATTGTTGAAGATGGAAGTATCTGAAGTACTGTTGAGCATTATACCAGTTCATCTGGTGTACCAGTTGAACTCCTTTTCAAGGCACAAAGTACAGTGCAAAACATGCTAACATTAGCTTGTTTGTTGAGTCACTAAAAGTCAGAGATGTTTGTCATGTTTCAAGTAAAAATAAAAAAGCAGCAGTCAGTAGATCACCTCCCACTGTGTAGTCAGTTACAGTCTTAAGTAGTCTAATTCGTTTTCAAAGACATGAGCGAGTAAAATGAAAGGACTGGCCAGTCTCTTTAGCCTTCCTCCGCCTGCGGGGCTCTCTTATTCGGTCAGCTGCATAAGATGATCGAGGGTAAAAGGGCCTGGTCCTCGGCTATCAGTAGCTGGTTTTATCAGTGTGAATGCCTTTGATGACATAGATACATAAGCACAGAGAAGCTGCTACGTGCTTACGAATATGGTTAGAAAGCAATATTGACTTAAATTTATCTATATATTGTTCTCTTGTTGATGTTTTGCACAATAAAAAAAAAGGTTAGATTTACTTAAGTTGTTGAATAAGTGACTCATTGACACCCTAGAAAATCAATCACAGGTAACCCCTGTTAAGTATCTAAATTGGTTTTATTAAAAAATACATTCATGCACACTATGATATAAATAAAAAAATACATACAAACATACACACACTATATATATATATATATATATTGGTATAATTATACCGTGATAATTTTTTAGTCATACCACCCACTACTTGCAGGAAGTTATTGACACTTAATGCTGTCTGCTGTAAAAGGAAGCTCTTTGATTACAGATGAGTGAGTTTACAGTCTACCTTTTGTCATGAGTGTCATGAGTGAGACTTGCAGTTTATTTCTGTGCATGTGTTCTGACAACAATTTTGTTTCTATTAATCCTGGTGGGGACTTGACAGGTAAGGAGGCTTTGCCTACACCGAGTACTACACTGGAGGCTTTGCTGAGGGGAGATGGCCTGGACAAGAGGAACAGCTCGAGAGATGAAGAGAGCCTACTGGAGATTCAGGTAGGGAGCTGCTCTCACAAGCAGTAAGTAGAAACCCAAGCTTGCAGAAGAGCATGGACTAAATTATGTTCTTTTTACTGTTAAGTGGGACACAAGCTTTTAGTTTACTTCAGCTGTGATTGTTTTGGCTGTTTTAAACAGTTGACCACTGTATCTAACCATGTGTGGGATGTGAAACCAAGGTTAGGCAAGGTGGTCCACCGTTGTGTGTTATAAATTCCATACTGTATTAATGTGGAGAAAAATTGCACAACTCTCATCCAAACTGAGCTGATTAGCATCCCACCTATGACAGCTTTGGTTTATAAATGCTTGAGGGGGAAATACTTTTATTGTTGTCTGTTGAATTGGCCAAGTGAACAGAAATACATGGGATCTCATGGGGACAAAAGTAAATCCCATATTAGCATATTTGTTTAGGGCAAAATGCCCTTGTCTTTTGATACCACTCTCATGCTTTTACTCCTTCTCTTTCTCACTCTGTCCCTCACCTCATTATCGATTACAGAGAGTTTTGGAGGCTGACGCCAATGAAGATGGTTACCATGACGATGAGGACTTTGAAGTGGACATACCAAAAAGAAAACATCGGGGCAAAGGCAGAGTGAGTGACTGGTCTCTCTTATATTCATTAAGTCAAATGTCAGTGTGTGTATACCACATAGTGGAACTCACCTTTTGATGTTTTGTGACTTTTAAGGGCTGTAACTAAAAAAAAATTGTAGCCTTTCGCTATTTAAGTTTTTAGTTTACTTGCCAAAGAATTATCATTATTGAACAAAATTTAACCGTCAGACAGACATACACACAGAGCATACTTTGTTAGTACCCTTTTACCCTGTTCTTCAGTGGTCAGGACCCCCACAGTACCACCACAGAGCAAATATTATTTGAGTGGTTGCTCATTCTCAGCACCGGTGGTTTTAAACACCTGGGTGTCATTGGTGCACTGAGAATAGTCCACCAACCAAAAAACATCCAACCAACAACATCCTGTGGGCAGCGTCCCCACTGATGAGGGATGGAACATGACTAAAGCAAACTGTGCAGTCTCTGACTTTACATCTACAAGCTGGACAAACAAGATGTCTAATAGAGTGGACAGTGAGTGGACACACTGTTTTAAAAACTCCAGCAGCACTGCTGTGTCTGATCCACTCATACAAGCGCAACACACACTAACACACCACCACCATGTGGTGTCACTGCAGTGCTGAGAATGATCCACCACCCAAATAATACCTGCTCTATGGTGGTCCTGTGGAGGTCCTGACCACTGAAGAACAGGGTAAAAGGGGACTAATAAAGTATGCAGAGAAACAAATGGACTACAGTCTGTAATTGTAGAACTACAGAGTGCACCTTTATAACCTGATAAAATGAACGAAGAGTGTAGATACAAAGTGGTGTACTGTATGAAGTGACCAGTCGGTGTGCGTGTGTGTGTGTCTGTGCTCTGCCAGAGCTAATAATGCATTTGATGAAGAAAAAAGGCATGATGTCAAAGGTCTGTGGTCCCTTCTTTTACAGGTTGAAATTGAGTGCTTGTTTTGTGTCTTTAAAAATATATATATTTTTGGACAAACTGCACTTACCTTTTTAGTGGGTTCTGGTAAGCACAGAAAGACTCAACAAATCAGAGAATCAAAAAAATATTATTGCATTGTGGTCTGAAGTAATCCCTTTCAGTGGACTTAATCTGTGATGACTGTGTTTTATAGATGTGAATCTTCTCTTTTACTTCTCTGTCTTCGCAGGGTCGAGGTTCAGGACGTCGGAGGGCAGACTTGGATGACCAGGACAAGCCATATGTCTATGAAAGTAAGTAACAAGTTCTGAGGAAAGTGAAAACATTTGCTCATTGAAAAGTATACTGGGACCTGATGCCTGGCAGTTAAACAAAATGTTGAAGGAGCCAAGTCACTGTCAGTAATGTAGTGGATGTTTGTTGGAAAAAGGAGCCAAATGGGCTTAAGCATAAACTTAAACATGTTTCTTCTCATGTTTGTTCAAATTTTGTCTTGTTTTATATATTTATCTTGTGTCGTCTTTGTTTCAGGCAGATACAAACAAAAGCATAACTCAAAAGCTGGAGCCTCAGGTATGTGGGTTTTTTCAGTCTGGAAAGCTGGATTCAAAGAAAGGATCAGAAAGTATAAATATGGCTTTCATCTGCCTGCCCTAATAAGCGTGCATGGTGTTCTCGTATATTTTATAAACAGTTTGTCACACATTAGGCCTAGACACACAAGAATCATTGCAGATATCAGAAAATAGTCCACAGGTTTTGCATGCAATGAGGACTTTGTGATGGTGTGCTCTAGCTGATAAATTCTTTCTGCTTTGTTTTAGTATGTGGCAAGCGCTATAGGAATCGCACTGGCTTAAGCTACCATTATGGTCACACCCATATTGCTGAAAAGGAAGAGCCCCAGGCCAGGGACTCTGAGCCCTCACAGTCTCCACCTATCAACCACCGTCCCCACAGTCGCAAACGTAATCTCTCACAATGAGTCTTCTTTCCTGACCAAATATAAATATCACCGTTAGCTGGGGCAGCCGACATATTATTGAGCTGTGTAAATTGTAGTAGAGGCTTATGAGCTGTTTAATTGTAATAGTGGCATCTGGTAAACTGAATATCTGTTATGTCTATTGTGCCTTTTGGTTTTTTAAAACAAGTATTCCTCTAATTGTTCCATTCCACTCTCTTAGATCAAAAGAGTCTAGATTCAGATCACACACGCAACAACTTCTGTGACGTTTGTCAAGTAAATCCAGGCTCCAAAATGAAAGAAGGCAAGTGCCTCAAGTGTGGGCGCTCAGGTATGTGTGCTTTTTAATAATGCCAGCATGCAGTTCTGCTTCTGCCTCTCTGACCCAAGATGTCATATTTCTAGTGCCAATCTAAGCATTAATGTTAAAATATTTCATTCAAAGTTGGCTCCGTTCCAGCTGTCGTACGTAACACGTCATCTAGATGCATCATGTCCAGGTTTTATGAAAACGTTACTTGTACCATTCTAGCTATTTAGACTAAGATTACTCCCTGTAAAATGTCCTCAAATTGCTATGCCGTTTCTTCTTAGAGGTTTATTGCAGTAACTACAGGTGCAGTTCTCTGTTTTCAGATCTGCCAATTTTGGCTTCCTCTGCCTTCTCAGTTTCTGTTGTCACTGTTTTCAGCATTCAAGTCAATGCTTCATAGATCTTACAACTTCATCTACTCTTCATCCTTTGTTATTGCTGAGGAATTTTGTGTGCTTACTGAAACAGGTGTAATATGTGGCAGTGCTGTGGGAGAGGGGGAAAATAACATTTTTTTACAGTGTGTGAGCATTTCATGACAGAATGACCAAAAAATGGTCCATTAATCAAATAAAATAAGTATTAAAAAAAAAAGTTTCCATTTCAGTAATATATCTATATTTCTTACAATAATATCAGACGATATAATAGACAGTCTTATGCAAAGGTTTGGGTGTCTCTGGTCAAATGACATGTTTTGTAGATTTAAGTGATCTTCTATAGGGAACAAACATTTGCACATGTTAATGAAACATTTAACCGGACGTGTTTAAACATTTACGTATGTCTGTATACGTAATTAGACATTTGTATGTGTATATAACAGATTTTCCCATACATTGCATCTGTGCTCAGCGTAGTCAAATGGAAAACAATGATAATTGGATTATGTTTATTTAATGATATTAAAAAAAAGCTGGTATACAGCTGTGATAACATCTTTTATTACAGTTAAAGTGCATCATTACATATCATTATTACAGTTGTCAGTAAAAGCAGCAAGAACATTTAAATCTTGCCAGAAATTTTGCTACTGTGCAAAATATTCACTTTACTCATGTGAAAATATTTTACAGTGTAACAAATACACAGTATTGTAAAAATAGTATCCAACATTTCTATGATGTTTTTTGGTAGGTGGGCTTGATGAGGAGAAAGATGAGAAGACTTTTGCTGGAGCCGAGGAGCTGTTTGGTACAACCTCAGAAAGCGACACTTCCACATTTCATGGCTTTGAGGAGGATGAGTTGGAAGAGCCTCTGTCCAACGGCAGCGAAGCCTCCCCAAAATGCAGATAGAAAATAACTTGCGGGTCTTTTTAAACTCTTATTTAAAAAAACAGCGCATCACCCCTGCAAAAATTCTGCTGCTTCTTTTTACTTTTTAAAGTTTTGTTTGTTTGTTTGTTTTTTTTCCCCTTTATTGGAAAGCACAAGTCATTATATCAAAAAGAAGGTATATGAAAGCGTTAACTTTCTTGGACAGCTTACACCATTTTTAATAAGTTATGGATCTGTTGTTGTTGATGTTATTGTTGTTGTTATTGCTATTATTATTATTATTATTATTATTATTATTATTATTATTTAAACATTGAGAGCAAATAGGAACAGACTGTTTTTTTTCCTTAGGAAACCTTTCATTTTATTTTTTTCCCTTGAAGGGAAATGATCGTACATTACAAACGCTGGAACAGATGGATATGACTTTCGGATTTATTTCTGGAATTATTTTCCAGGAAACTGAACTCAAGTTAAAACGAAACAGTACAAAAATAACAAAGCGTAGCTTGAATACAGCAAGAAGTAAAAATCAGTGAAGATCAGAAGTCAACTTAAAAAATGTTTGGTAGCGTTTTATGTCACTGGAATTGCCAAGGAATGCAAGTGAAGAACTTATGAAGTCAACTCAGTGCTTTGTCATGTGGATTATGACTGCGCCAAAAAGGAGTTGGGATAACATTTAAGGAGATGAGTAGCAGATGTACTGTCTATCATCCTGCTCAGATAAGAAGTTGTTAAGATGGTCTAAATCAACTGTTTGCGACGTCAGAGACATGAAGGTAGGACACACTGTTCTCAATATATCCTACTTTATCATTGGCTTGTCCTTTTTGGTAGTACTGGTTTGTTTAACAATACCAATGTGCTGTGAGATGTTTCTTTTTAGATAGTACTATGCAAAAGTCATAGGCCACACTTTCTTGATCTAATTTCCAGTTAAAATGGTCATTAAACTATTCATTTTTTAACAGCAGGGAAAAAAGTAGAAAATATATTTAACAGAAATAATACACAGAAGCCTCAGCAACCAAATATAACAATTTTTTTTTTTCATTTTTCATTTACTATGTCCACCCTTCCATTATTTTCAGGAGACTTGCTTTCAGTTTTTTAAATAAATCATGCCTCCAACTCAAAGACAAAATCAAAGAAAAAGAAAACAAACAAAAACAAAAACTATTGCAACTATTTGCAGGCTCTTTTACTAAATCTGTTACATTGCTTATGTTTCTAATGGTGCTTCATTGTTCTCTCCACAGCAGAGGTTGCTGCAGTGAGGGGAGCAGGAGAGCTGTGCTGCTACTAGAAACTAGAAGGTGGTTTATAAATCAGAATTCACCTCTCCAGTCTTCTGAATGTCAGACCCAGTGAAGCTGAAGAACCCTTAATTCAGCCAGACAAACACCAGACACTGTTTCAGACTCTAGGACAAGTATTGACTCCCCACCCCCTGACTGCTGCTGCACCCCTGCTGGTGGTCTACAGCCTGAATCCGAGACTGTGATAAAGTGATTATAGAGCCATATGGAACCCTTCCATCCCTGTCCTGGAAAAGTGTCTCAATCCTTGTCGTAGCTTTATGGCGTCGGCCACCGTTGGTAGGGATGAACCATCACTTTAAGGGTAAAACAAAGACTTTATAGAATCTGAATGAAACCGTATATAAAGACAATGTACAATGTCGATGAAATGTAAACGTGGAGCTGTGATCCACCGTCTGTGTGATCCTGTGTTCACACATTTGAGGAGAAATGAGCTGCTGCTACCCCCAAGTGGATACGCAAAGTCCTCTAGCTTTTGCAAGCAAAAGCGCAAAGCCATCCAGCCAATAGGCTAGCTGTTCGAAAGTTGACCACACCCATAAATATTTTGTTCTGCCCCTGTTTTCTGATTGGTTGGATGATGTGGCGCTTCAGGAGTGTTTTCCATGATTTCATGGCGGGTATCCCTCTCCAGTCACTGCCCCATGCTAAGCAGCTTTTTCCGGTCATTTTTCAAAATGTGCCATGATGATCAGTGGGGCATAGCACTTTGAAAAGTCCAGTGACAGAAGTTTTTCTGCAGTTGTCTGAACTTGAGAGGCAGAGTGGTAATCTTTTATTTAACTCTCTTTCCATGGCCTTGCTGCACTAAATTTATTTTATAATGTGTTCTAATAATCTAAACTGACACAGTGGATGGCATCGCGATCACTGTGTTCAACCCAGTCTCTCAGGGGAAGCCGATCCGACAGCCATATCTAAAAACATGCCGCTCTATCTTCCAAATGTCGACAGCATAGATCCTCTGCCAGTGGCAGCTGCATTAAGAAAATCTGTTTTGTTTCTGCTGATTTACATTTCCAGTTTCTTGGAGTACAATATTCACTTCAGGCTCTGTGAGTTTCCCTCTGTTTTTGAACCTCAATACCTACTCAGGCTTTTTCTTTGAAAAACAGAACTGTTCCTGCCATGCAGTTGGTCGCTTCAGGCAGTTCATGAACACATTTATAGTGAGCTCCACAGTCAGGCTTAATGCATTTAGAACAGAATGACTCAAATAAAGATAATCGCACACTGCTGAGGTATAGCATCACAGCAAGCAGATGCTGTTTTACATACAGGGTGTGTTACTTGGCTGTACATGGCCCAGCAAAACCTCTTTATATACAATTTCAGCTACTTCACAGTAGGGATGTGCATTCTGATTTATTTTGATATTCGAGTATCTGCAAGAGTTAATGGACGGATATCTGTTTTACCACGGCGAAGAGGAAAACAGTACCTCAGCCAAAATCCAGAATTAACGGTGGGCTGGAGCTGGAGGCTTACTCTTATAAGTGATAGCACTGGTGTTGAGAAGCTAAAATATCAGTAGCACAAAAATTTAGCAGCACACAGATGAATAGGTTTGAAAAAAATGTTTTGTTTTTCAGAAAATCTAAGAGAAGTCCTTAGCTTTGCATTTTGGACGAGTATTGGACTCTGCCCTTCAGATGTAGGTAAAGCTATAGCTAACTGGTACAGCTGGATGTTGATGAGGACTCAGTGTCTTACAAGAGATATTTTCTCCTCAGTGGACAATGTGCCCAAATGTTAGTTTACCAAAGAAAAATATTTCCACTTTTTCTGTTCTGGACTGAACATTAGCTACAGTAACTAGCCTAGTTAGCGATAGAGCTGCGCTACTCAAAACAAGAACATTGTACAGTCCTGTGAAAACATGAAAGCAGGGTATTACTGAACTGATGATGCGTACATACAGAACGAGAACCCAAATAGGGATTTCACTGTTCACAAGTACTGCCACCCTGAACAAACAGTTCACAGAGTACTCGAGTGCCCATGCACATCCCTACTTCATAGCACAACCCACCTACAAAAACTGTCAGTCCTATAATAATTCTGTTGGCTAAAGGTCATTTTAATTAAAAAAAATTATTTATTGGTGAAATTGTATGAATTTTACCTCTAGATAAGAGACAACTACTACTACTAAATATGTCTGAAACATGTACTGTAGCAGTATTTTCAATCTTGCTTTTTTCTTTTTTTTTTATTGGGTAGTGTACTCTGTAGATTTGAACAGAGCAAAATGCGAGACTTTCACCGTAAAAGTAACTTTGAACTTTGACCTAAGGCCAGTGCTTATCTGGTCATCCTTGAACAGCAAAATCACCCTGATTTAAGTTTGTAGACTTTGCCGGGTCAGCATGGTGGACTGTCTTTGTGGAACACTGGTCATCCAGTTGTACACCATCTCATGTTATCCACCTTTACTTTTTCCCTTTTTTAAATGAGACCTAATTTTGCAGGGATGCTCCAAACAGCATACACCAGAGAATTTATTGTATGGTGAAGGTGCTGTTACAGAACTAGAGCCTGAGGTGGTAGGATACAGTTTTTCCCATTACAGAAGAAGGAAAAGTAAAGAGAAAAAAACAGCAGAGATAAGCAGATAGCTGGTTTTCTAGGTGTGGGTTTGTGGGTGGGTTTGGTTTTGTCGCTACACTTATGTGCATAACTTCAGAGTCTCTGGCTCTAGGTGACAAAGAGTTCGAACATCGAGATCAAAAAGACTGTAAGTGTCATCCTTTACTTTTCATTTTTCTAAAATGTGAACTCTGTTCCCACACTGAGGTTCTGGACAGAAGAAATACAGCTGGTTTTATACGCTAGAGTACAATAGTATATGCAGTAAGTGATGCAGGGTTACAAGCTGTGATATACATTTTAATTGCCTTTGTCCATTTTTTTTTTTGTTTTTTTTGTTTTTTTTGTTTTTTTTTGGCTTCATCTACTGTAGGTGTAGTTAGCTTATGATGCCCTATAATGTTAATGATGTGTTTTTACACCTGCAAATATAATGATTACCAGTTAATATAATGGTACATAATGAATGACAATGGGTACTGTATATGACTGCATACGACATAACAGTGGACTAGCAAGCAAACTTGCGTTTTCTTCATCAGGACATAAATACATGCACATACAATAACTGACTCACTTTCAGAATATCCCCTCAGGGACCATATCCACACACAAAACTAAGCAGATGTACGTTCATGTCGACTTTCTGGAATAAGAAACATGCTTCTTGTGAGTCTGGCTTCTTCACTGGAATCTGTGGAAACTCATCATGGATTCTATTGACTTTTAGAGAATGGTGTGCATTTGCTGATGAGTTCTTCCGATCAATGGATCTTGTGCACTTTTTGAACAACTATTGCTCCTCCTGAGGGGTTATGATCATGAAGATGAACTTTAAGTGATCACGTCTACTAATACTTTTGAAGTAGTCTCTATACCTCAGAAAAGTTAACGACAGCAATAGGCCCATGTTTTTGTGCATTCCTGGGGTTGGAACAAGAGCCAATATGAGGTGAAGGAGTAACTGATTATTTTGTTTGCATCTGTAAATATTGTAATCCAAATGAAGTCTTTGTTAGTGGTTATTTTTATTGTGACAAAAGGAATTAAAGAATGAGACAACAGTGAGCTTTTCGAGTTGTGTGGATGTAATGCTCTGCCTCTTTAGAGGCTGACTCTGTGATGCCAAAAACTATGCACAAAGTAATTTGAACCCTGCACAAACAGTGATCTGAACTGTACGGCTCGTATGCCTGAGTTGGAGTGATTAGGGCTCTTTTGCTGTCATATTTAACAAAAATACAAAGTTAACTTGATCCTCCCATGCCATGATTAAAATGAAATTCTGTCTTGCTTGGAAATACCATGGTCAGACCCTTAAGGGGGTACTCTAAAGGAGAGCTTTTGGTCAAAATCATAACCTAGCTAATAATGAATTAATGTAACTGTAATTTAACAGAGCTAGCCTCCTAACTCAGCAGTTTCTAGCTCTTCTAGTAGTTGGTCTGTTGGCAAGAACAGAGGACTGTATAAAAGCTGTACAGTATAATTTTACAGTCAAACCTAGATGGGGAAAAAATGTTTCAAAGCTCATATTATATGATGCATTTTGATGCAAACTGAGATGAGCACAGTTGCTAGTACCCATGGAGTGAAACAGAATGGACAATAAAAATACTGCAGAAAGCCCTTTATTACTTAACTATTTTTGTGTTTAGTGTTGCTGGTACTAAATCGTAGCTGGTGCAGACAAATCGCTAAAAATGCAAAATTGCTTTCTTTTTAATGGCCTAGATCAGCGTTTCCCAACCCTGGTCCTGGAGACCCCCTGCTACACAAACTGTAGTGTCTTCCATGCTGTCAACCGGGGTGGCTAGTATAAGTAGGCTAGAGGGGCTAAGCCATCCCTCTCTTTCAAAGAAAAAAGGCACCAAAGTAAGGTTTCCTTTTTTGGCAATAGCACCATCAAAAAATCCTAATAAAATAAGAATTGCCAAAGATGGGGCTGATTGCAACCAGCCCAAGCTGTAGATTCACTCAGCCAATCTTTGATTCTGTGTCAAGTGGTTGTGACGTACTAGGCGGAGGCCCCGTAGAGTCGTTATCCTATTAGTCAGATACAGACACATTGTGATTATGTCATTACGTGGTCATGTTTCATGCAGAAACATTTTAATTTGCTTCACAAGAAGCCTGTATTCATCCAATTTTCACCATTGCAAAAATGAACATTTCCAGAAAGGGACTCTATGGGTTTTGCAGTGTTATGTTTGAGGCAAACTAACAGGGCTGCCATAACAGCAGTACACAGAGATGTGAAGCTTATAATATAGTCATTTAAAGCTCATAACTGCTTGTAACAGACATTCAGGGAAGATATATTTTATAATTTGTATATTTCTGCTTTACAGAATCCTAATTATTTTAAACTTCACCCTTGTTCTGCTTGTGTTATAGCTGGTATATTAATATTTAAACATTTAAGTGCAACCAGTAGATAGCTAGACAGCTGTTTCATTGTTTTAGTGCTGTAGCTGGAAAGTGGCTCCTGATTGAGTGTTTTTTTTTTTCAGCCTGAACGAAGCTCAAATTCCAGTCTTGTAGATCAGTGTTGAACTCAATATTTCTTTTGCTCCTCACTCAGTCACATGGTACATTCTTTGAACATCTTTTAATTAGTTTTGTTTCACATTTCTAAACCTCAGTCTGTTTGAATAAGGTCAGATGCATCTGTACAGTGTAGGGCTGAATGATTTGGGGAAAGTATATAATTTCCACTTTTTAAAATTAATTTTGTGATTATTTTCTATAAATTAAGCTTTTTTGGCCAAGAAAACCAGCATATCCACCTCTTGTAACTTGGGGCATCAACGGTGAACATGCCAGTTAGTTGTAGGTGTGTTGTTGCGTTTACAGCATGCAGATATTCTGTCATAGATGTTCTGTAGATGTTAAGCTCCATGTTATTAGATTAAATGTCCCAAACTTAAGGCATCATTGTTGATAATATAAGATCTAATTAAAATTGCAGCTTTAGCGATATGAAAATCGCATGCTTTCAAATTGTGATTTCAATATAAAGACTTAATTTTTCAGCCCTGGCACAGTCAGAGACATCTGGTGCTCTAGACTTCTATACGTGTGGATTCGCTCACAAATGTGGCGGCACAGCACAGCATAAGACTGCACCATCACATGAGTGCTGATTTCCATCATCTTCAGTCTCTTGAAAATGATGTGTTGGCTGGCTGTGACATGGCAGCCATCAATAGCTTCAACTGCCACATTTATTAGGGGGGGATCCAGCCCATGAAAAAATTGAGAAAATAATTGCATTTAAATCTCAATCGCAACATTGGTCAGAAAAATCAGTTACATATGGTATATCATTATGGCATATCCTGACACTTTTAACAGCACATTATTACTATGGTGATATGTCATGACCACCACTGCATGTAACAGTTATCAATGTATTTAAGCCAGGATTTTTCATGATGTGCCTAATCGCACATGTATATGGATCATTATACCCAACTGGTTCAAAGTCAGAGTTAAAAACAAGTTTTGGACTAACTGACCTGTGCTTTAGACTTTAGATACCCTAGTGGAGATAAAAGTAACCTACCAAATCCTTATTAAGTAGCTTTTCTGTGATGAGACTGAAGCTGTTTCTCTTACTGTTGGTGAAGTGTGTGATAACCTTTTAAACTACACCCTGGTGGATGTCCAAACAAGTCTTTCCTTGGATTCTGATGCCTACACTGATGGTCGTGTTGAGATATGATTAGAGCACTTGGTGGTGCTGGACTTTGATGACTGCTGTACATTTAAAATGGCTCTTTAAGGGTTCTTTAGTAAAGAAAAGAAAATGGTTCTATATAGAACCATGAACACTCAAAGATACCACAGCAACCACCAAGCAATCACCTGGGGTACCACACCAACCACCTACTTTTCAACACCTTAGCAACCACTTAGGATACCATAGCAACCCCTAACACAAACCCCTAGTAACCACCAGAGGATACAATATTAACCCTCCTAACACCCTCGCTATACAGAGGAATTGCACAATCACTTTGCATTTTCTTAGAGAAATGCAGTTTTCTAGTTTTTACTCTTACATTACATTGATGTCCCCATGTTTTATTATACATCTACTTATGCATTTTAGTTATTGATGAATGCATGAAATTGTATAAACATGTTTTTGTAATATATTAGCTCTAGTTACATGTTTCTAAGCCATTTTGGTGAACACTGATACATTATTTAAAACCAGCAGGTTATTGATGGATAACCTAACTCACTTGTTCACTCAATCTCTCGCATGCGCAAGCACACATCTTCCCCCCACTCTCACATTCCCTCCACTGAATGATCTTTTAAATGGCTCTCTGTTGGAGGCTCTACACACTACCAGCTACTGGATCCAACCCAGCTCAGTCAAGCCCAGGACTCAGAGGGCCAGATCATGACAGCTTTGGGCCAGTTTACCAAAGGAGCTACCTGGGAGGAACTCATTCATACATGCATCCAGGCTTTTGGTAAGTAAAGTCATGCCTGTTTTGTGTTGCTGTTGATACTGGGTAATGTAAAGGCCTACTTGTTTCATTGTTGCTTGATACTTCAGTTTTGATCTAAAATGTATTCTGTTTATACAAAGGGGACAGACTACATTCAAACATATTAAAAATAGTAAGTAGTTTACTGGTAGCTCTGACTGTTCTGTGGTTTGGCTTGTTTTACATGAGATATTATCATATTATATATGTCAAGCATTATAAAGTAGCTTTTACATTAAGTCCTTCTCACTGAAATCTTCACATACGAACATTGATACCTGTTTAATAGAATCACCTGCTTGATTTTTTTTTCCCACTAAAATGGAAGAAAGAAAGAAGATTAGGAAAAAAACATGACTCACTGCTAGTATTGCTTTTCTTTAGGAGTTCGTGACACCTTTCAAACATAATTTCAGATAATGTTTACAGCACTTCATCAGAAATAAACAATGTGAGATGTTTTACAGCACTGTGCAAAAATTGGAGACCACGCTTCATTTATTTAATCTAGTCAGAACAGCTAATAAATACACATTATTCATTTTTCAGCACCATGTTAACAGAATATATTTAACAGAAAATTACAAAGAAGCCTCAATAACTTAATGCAACAAGGTTTTCAGTATTAAGTGTGTCCATTCTTTGCATTTCTTACAGCCTCCTTTCCTTTTTTCTGAGACTTGTTTTTGAACAAATTGTCTCAGGACAGAGTGACTACAAGAAATACATTTAAATAATGTCAAAATTAGGTGAAAAAGAGCTTATTAATAACGTTATCTTTCAGAAAAGGAAAACATTGTTGTTGATAACATTGTCATAGGGTTCAAAATGTGTAATGATAAGTCCAGCTGCTCCTTTCTCACATCAGAGAGTTACGCCAGAGACCCTGTGGTTCAGAGTCCCTTTTGAAATGTGAAAGAATACATCAGGGCCATATGAAGGATTACCTGGATGCCATTCTGTTCAGAAAGGTCACTTCCCCAAATGGGGCCCCCTCAGATGATGGTCAGCCTTTGAGGCTCTTAGGGGGCCAGATCAATACAGTGACGCCATTCCCTGCCCCCCCCCAACCCCACACTTCACAAGCTGAGTGCAGAGAAAAGTGAATTAAATGAACTCAAAACAATAACGTGACACATGCATGTTGACACATAGGTCACATGACTTGAGCAACATTAAAGATAAATCAACAAATTAAAATTCACTTGATTTTTCAAAATGTCTGCATAATTAAATCATTAAGATGTAAACAAAGCCATTCAGAGTGGGTTTAATGTGAAAGGCTCTGCTCTAGAGAAGCTTACCAGTGATAGGAACCAGACATCCAAAGGTTTTGATGCCTCTGAAAGCTACATCACAGAAAGCTATTACATGAAATTACGTTACTTTGCCTAATATCTGAAACATTGTTTTATGATGCTTTTGCCGTAAGGTTTTGGCCTAAAATGCCTTTTTCAAAAGCACATTCATGGTGGTGAGGTACTTGTAGGGTGCTGTAAGGCAAAATAGTCTCCAAAGAAAACTATTTGAATTTACTACTATTGCACCATTTTTGACATTACATATAAAACCTCTGAAGGTAGGTTTACTGGCTGTTTTGGATAGTAAAAAAATGACTATATTTGTGTTGTAGACATTGTGACCCCTGGTTCCCATCACCACCACTGTGCAGAAATCAGAGTCAGTAAATTTCTCTACAATGCACCATTTCATCAAACCACTCTGAATGACTTTGTTTACATCTCAATAATTGAATTCTGGAGAATGTCTGAAAAATCAGTCGAATTCACTTTAAATCTGCAAGGAAAGTAATTATTTATACATACAAACATGTCCATATATTGAAAAATCTATACATTTCATTCATAATATTTACTCTCTGCCTTTCCCTCTACAGATGCTGATGGTAATGTTTGCCACAGCAGCCATTTACTGAACATCACTCTCACCATGCATAGACTACTGCTGTCCTCCAAAGAACTGCTGAACAAGCTGGTGGTGCTATATCCTTTCAGCCATTAGAGGTTTTCTTTGTTTAAGTGATCTGTAAAGCTATTTATCTGGACAGTAAATGTTTATTTGTTAGACAAAGTGGCTGGAGTCAGGAACCAAACCTGTGTTCTTCTAACTGTATTCTTCTTACTAACATATTGATAATTTTACTGAAAACAAAACATGAAGAGTTTCATTCCAAAATGCAGTATATTCATTTGTAACAATTCTGGATGTACATGTAAAATGGAAAACACATTAACTAACATAATTAATTATAACAATTATAACATAGCACTGATACTTCTTGTATGTTTTAAACCCATTCCAACAATGTATATCATGAAAAAAAATAATGTTCTATTTTGCTTTATGGAACAAAACCCTTCACATTCTTGTTATGGTACTTACTTATACTGTTCTTACACTCACTGGCCACTTTATTAAGTACACCTACTACCTTATATCTGAACTCATTGCCTATTTTATCAGGTTTCCTTATTGCATTATGTAGTTCCACAATTACAGACTATTTCTCTGCATAATTTGTTCGGTTTTCTTTATCCCATTCATCAGCTGACCCCCACAGGACCACCACAGAGCAGATATTTGGGAGGTGGATCATTCTCATCACTGCAGTCACACTGATGTGGTGATGGAGTGTTAGTGTGTGCTGTGCTGGTATGAGTGGATCAGACACAGCAGAGTTGCTGGAGTATTGTCTTAACATCTACAAGTTGGACCAACAAGGTAGGAGTGTCTAGAGTGGACAGTGAGTGGACACAATGTTTAAAAACTCCAGCAGCACTGCTGTGTCTGATCCACTTGTACCAGCGCAACACACCCTAGCACACCACCACCACGTCAGTGTCACTGCATTGCAGCCTAAAACTGCAGATAAATGTCATTAAAATTTGTTCCCTGTAGAGGATGTGTTTATAAAAAACATGTATTTTCACAAGGGATCAGCTTTTACATATGTCAACGTATGTGTGAGAATGTGAGAGTGACTTTATTTCAATGGATAATTAGGGCCCCTAATTATGGACCCCCGCTGATGACATCCTGTATAAATGAAAATAATGCGTGGCCATGACGTATTAACGTGTGGGAATGAGATCCTAATGTTGGCCACGACTTAGTAAGGCTTGGGAACAAGATCCTAATGCGTGTCCACGAGAAAATTAAGTTGTGACCACAGCTTAATAAGACAGATCTCATTCCCATGCCTTACCAAGTCGTGGCCATGACTTAATTATCTCGTTGCCATGCCTTACTAAGCCGTGGCCACGCATTAGGATCTTGTTCTCATGCGTTAATACCAGCATGGGCTCTGTTCCTAAAACCTGACTGTTCTGTTCTGCTGATTTCTGTAGTTCCAATCTAACAATAGTTTAAAACTAATGTTCAATCACAGTGTGAGATTTAAGCACATCTAAGCAAATCACAAAAATAATCACACCCTTTAAAATAACAGCTCACAATCACATATACAATAATCCCAAAGGCAAGATACCTTAATTCACCTTTAACAGTAAAACATACCAACAATCACTGTATCAGAGCAGAAGAAGCACAGAGAGCTTCAAGATAACACTGCAGCTCTCTAAGACCTGTAGCTATTAGTGTGTTTGTACTTGTTCTCAACTTCTTGGCTGTTTTTTCTTAACTTTTATCTCTTACCTTCAAAAATACACTGGAGGATGACAAGTCTGCAGAAAGTCTGAAAATGTGCTACTTCATTAGGTAAGTATTGCTCTTCTCTCTGAAAACAGAGAATACTCAGGAAAACGAGGCCCTCTGATAAGCTAGACACAGCTATTGAGGGGTTCGTTTGCATGAATGATAAACGACATAATTTAAAAAATGAACTGACTGTGGTGTGTTTAACACACAACGCTGTCTGAACCCTAAACATGTTTTGTCACAAAAGCCTTTATTGTTCATTGTCAAGGTGTTTCAAGTTCACGTTTTACGGCAAAACAGTCAAACGCCAGTGATGTTCTCGAGCGGAACTTGATAAATCCGGTCAGCCAATCAGTGAGCAGTATTCGGGTCAGGTGACGCAACACTGCCGCCAACTGTTTTAGGCGAATTCTCCCTACAAAGTGCAGTACTAGGTCTTAAATAATGATTACTGCATCTAAACAGTGCACAGTCTGTCCAACAAAGACCCTTTTTGGATTCAGCTGTGTGTGCACAATTTCATACTGGACATTGGAAAGTGTAAAATTTGGGTGTAAAGGCCAAAATCGCATGGTGCACTATATAGGGAGCAGTGAGCCATTTGAGATTCAGCCTTAGGATTTTCTGAGGTATGATCTCATAGATGTTTAATATTGCCTAGTAATGGGCTGTATTTGTTGCACTTTTTAGCATTTTACCTACTTGCTTTATGTGAAGGCTAGTTAAATATTGCACTTAAAAGAAACTTGTATCCATTACATAGATTTGTTTACCTCTTAAACATAAAATTAACTTTGGGGTTTTCTGCTTTCTGCATAATTAATTAAAGGGGTTTTTGAATGGTGAAATAGTTATTTAGACTGATGGAGAATGTCTTGTGTAAAGTTCTATATAGAACATTTTTGAAAAGGGCTCTATACAGTTAAATTCTGTTGTTACAATCTACAGCATAGTCTCCAACAGTCTGAAGAACACTTTCACGATGCAAAGAAACTTTTAATCATGCAAAGGGTTTTTTTAGTGTTCATAGTTCCATATAGAACCATTTTCTTTACTAAAGAACCCTTGAGGAACCATCTTTGCAAGTGTGTAGTTAATTCAGCAGTTTGAACTACCTTTCACTTAGATCCTCAACATTAAATCAGAAAATTGCAGAAGCAAGGAATGTCACAAAACATGCTGTTTAGAAATGACATCTTGATTATTTATCTCTATTGTGCAATGCCTCACCTGTTGTAGGCCCAAGAACATGTACCCTTAAATGCATAACTAGTTTAGTTACTACTGATTCATTTCATGACAGGAGTTGAATAAATTAAATTAAGAACAGCCTGGATATCAATTCACATCAACAAACTGCAGGCATCAGTTTTGAGAACCTTGTGTCCTGTGTTAAAACTTTTGGACACGACATGAATATACGACAACGGCCCTGTCTGAAAATTCAGAGACAAAGGCAGCTCTGAAGAATACAGACCCAAATCTTTATTAGCACCATATGTATATCATACCTGTCAACTCACTGTGTCTTTTATCTACAGGTACTGGATAAGTGAGTTCTGGACTATGTTCAGGTTGCACAGCTGTCTGGCAGAGTCATTAGAGCAGTTCAGGGAGCTTATGAGAGAACATGGGCAAGAGAAGCTGTGTCCTTTACTGCAAACTAAATGGACGTAAGTATTATGATGTTAACCCTTGTTTCTGCACAATGTATTGTGACTTTTGTTTGCTGTATAGACGTTTACCAGTTAACCCTTTAAGACCTAACCCTAAACTGAAAAGGGCGTATCTGGGTCTTTATGGTACATGTGTATATTTTTGATTGTAAATTGTTGATCAAGTGTTCTATGTTTTATGTATGCTAGTATTTAATTCACCACAGCTTCCTATGTACTTACAAACCCTGGTATGATTTAGGGGTGACAGAGAATGGTCTCGCAAAGCCAGTCAGAAAATCAAGGCCAGTAGTAAGAAGAGGAAAGTGTCTCTGCTTTTCGACCATCTGGAGCCGGTGGAGTTAGCAGAACATCTCACTTACTTGGAGTTCAAATCCTTCTGCAGAATATCTGTGAGTGGACTATTCTTTGGTAGCACCTTCACAAGGAGTGGCCATAATTATTGTTTTCCTTAACCAGCTGATTGCAGTGACTAGGAGACCATGATTAAAGTGGGTCTTGCATGATTTTTTATAATGATGGAGTCGAGCTGATTCGTCCTCTTGCAGTGACGTTGATTTCTACGTTGTTTACCAGCACTCAGAAAGGCTAATCAGAATCAGAATCAGAAAGGCTGAGTGAAAAGGCATTTTAAAAGCATCAGTTTTTCATGTAGCATTACATCTTAATGATGCTGTACTTGTGTGGCCAACAACATTTCAGGATTCCTTGATATTTTCCATTTCGAGAATTGCTCGTCTTATGTATCTTCCCCAAATAGGACAGTTTGGCCTTGTAAGTCATTACTAGGAATACAACATATTTACATAATTACTATTGAAATAATAAGTCAATTTTTTATTCCAGTTTGCAGATTACCAGAAATACATCCGAAATGAGTGTTTGACAGAGAACCCTACGATGGAACGTTCCATTGCGCTGTGTAACGGTATCTCCCATGGGTACAACTCATGGTGCTCAGTCGACCAACTGCTCAGCTCCGGGCTGAGGTTTTCACAAAGTTCATCTATGTTGCGCAGGTAACATGCTCAGCATATCGACAATATCACTCGCAATCTTTGTGTTTTACCAAACATAATACATTTATCCAGTGGTTCTCAATTCTGGTCCTATAGCACTACTGTCCTGCACATTTTAGATTTTCCTGTGCTCCTTACACACCTGATCCAACTAATAACCAGGCCTTCCTGAGTTGAAGTGGATGTGTTAGAGCAAGGAAATACTCCAACATGCAGGGCAGTGGTCAGGCACATACACAGATACACCACAAGGGGGCTTGAGCCCCTGTCGTTTTGCCCTCAGACCGTGCAAGTGTCCTCTTGGTCGGTGTGTATAATAACTGGGAATAAGAGCTTTTGGGTTGGCTCTTTTAGGTTTCATGAGCTTCATCGCACTTTGGCACCCCCCCTGGTGAGATTTCCCCTCAGTACCTCCTGTCCGCATTCATCACCCATCACCATGGGTGATGAATCCCACTGATAAAGGAAATCCCACTGATAAAGCACTGATAACCACTATAAGACAATTCTATAAACTGGTTATTCTGAACAACAATCAAACGTTATGTCGGCAGTAAGTAACTTACTAAAACTGAGGGTTATTGTAAAAAAAGCAGGGATTTTCATAAGGCTCTGTCAAGCTCTTTCCAGTTTGGAGTAATAAGTGTAGTGGGTAATAATATAGCCCTGAATGCTGCTCCAGGACCATGATTGAGGATCACTGTATTTGTCATTAAACAGTCGTATAGGCCTATATTATAACAATAGTACATTATAATCTATACTCAGCATTGGTAGCCACTGATGTTTTATCTCAAAGATTACTATGTTTTGTTTTTTTTTCCTTTTTCTTAGACTGCTGCATCCTAGTATTTGTACACTGGTCATTTTAACAAAGCTGTTTTCCTGCAAGTGTTCTAGGCAGTGTTCACTAACAGGCAGTACTCTTGAAATCCTCACACCATCCCAAATACCAAGCCACTGTCTGTATAGTTTTTGTTGCAGTGTTTCTCCACTTAGTCTAATTCATTTCGTTCACCAGCTGACATTGAGGTTTTTGTTGCAGAACCTCCAGCAGATGCAGAACTTTAACACACTAATGGCGGTGGTGGGAGGCCTCTGTCACAGCTCCATCTCTAGACTGAAAGACACTTGTACATATGTGCCAAATGAGACCACCAAGGTATGTGTCTGTTTTAGCAAACTATCATAATGTTGTAACGGTTCGTGAGATTTTTCATTGACGTGGATACTATAATATGTTTCACGACTGTAATTAGGGGTGCATTGTGATGTATCGTTATGAAGATGACCATTCAGTTGCATCCATGTGTAACTGATTAATTTATACACAAATACACCATTTGCTATTTCTACATGTGGTGGTAATACGATAAGAGATTGATCATAGGAAGGGAGAGAACTCTGAGAACTTGGGCTGGAGTTCTGAGTGGTTTCTGCACTGAAACCAGACCCTTGATGATGGTGATGATGGTGATGTGATGATGATGATGATGAAATTAATTTTTCTTCTGTTATAATTATTTTCTTCTATTATAGGTGCTGTTCAGTAACAGCAATATAAGGGAAATAAATAAATAAACGTTAAGAATAGTCATTTAAAACCATATGAAGCAATGACAGATTGAATTGAAAAACAAACACAAAAAAGAGGTAGAAATGGAATTTAAAGATGAATTAAAGACATGCCTTTTCCACAATTTCTTAAGTGTGTATTGACCTTTACTGTTTAATAAAAGGTGAAATTAAGTACCACAGTTTAGAAACATAATAGAAAATAGAAAGAGGCCTCTCCATGTTTTCTGTATTTTTTTCTCTATAGAAAAATGTTTTCTCTATAGAAGGTATTTGCAGAAAGCCAGCATCTGCAGACTTAAGGTCACATCTTGGAATGGAAAGGTATAATTGCTTGTCATTAGCATAGCTTAAAAATTGTTTCTTAAAAAAGTTTCTTTACCTAGATGTAACATGTGGAAAAGCAGGAGAATAGCAAAGGCCCTAAAACTGAACCCTATAGGACCCCACAAGAAATGTTACTAATTGATGACTAATTGGTTACTAAATGAGGACTGAGAAACTGGTGGTAGGGTGCAGAAACTTCATCTCGGAAAACAGAAGGAAGAGCTGGAAATTTATATGACATTAGACTGGTAGGAGCAGGAGATTCAGGCATGGTTCTCCTACCAAACCTTTAGTTATTTCTTAACTCTTTAAGAAAAGATTATATTGATTATAGTAATATTTGTTCAAGTTTGTTTAAATTTTTGACCAAAATGGGAAAAATGGACTACTCTTCATTTATTTATGTATTTATTGTTTGTCTGTATTCTGCTACAATTCAGTGCATCTTTATAAATGATTCTGAATTATGCCAATACAAATTGGATTGTGGTGAAATTGAGATGAAATCATAATGCACTGAATTATTTCCAAAAGAATCATAAGTGAATCACTGTGAAGAGGTTTACACCCCTAATTATAATGCTTTCCTACAGTTTAACTATTGTTACAAACCTGTCTCTGGGGTTGTTAAAACTGAAGATTTAAAAAATATTGACTTCACAGACTGGCGTATGTTTAATCATGAGTCTGAAAATTCTAGTTTATATTAATATAAGGGATGCATTGGCACTAATACTGACGTTGGGTATCAGGCCGATACCGTGCTCATTTACTCATACTCATAAAACCTCACCAATATCAACATTCAGATACCAGATTCAGATCACAACCGCCTTCCTACAGATGGAGACACATAGGCCAGACCAAACGCAGGTGTAAAAAGTCAACATTTCCTACCAAAGTCCACCTATGCTGACTTTACTCTTTTTGACTGAATAGAATAGTGAGGTATAAACGTAATTTTATAAAATGTCTTTGTGAAATAGGCTGTAGAGAGACTGTACTGTCCTACCTTTGCCTGGCTTTTAGCTTCAGTGCACAGTGTTAGCAGCGCTGCTCAGTATATTTTGCTCAGTACTTGGTACACAGCGTGTTATTTTGAATAAAACAGCTTTATTTGAAATTGTTCATGGACAGAGCTGTCTGTTGAGGCTGCGTTTCACATAGGCTGTCAGCATTTCGTACAGTCTAAGTGTATAAATCGTAAGCTTTGTCTTTCATAGTGGTTTATTCAATGTATGGTGTGAGTCACCAAAGAACAAGATCTTTAAAATACGTTTATTTTAAAAAATATGGGGTAATATTACACATAGAAATGTACCATACAAAAATAAATGTATGTAAATGTATTTACTAAATACATTTGAAAATGTATGAAAATAGCTCAAAATACTTTGTCTAATGCACTTAGACGAATACCTTTCGAAATGAGTTTGTATTCCAGTATCTAAACTTTAAATATTAGCAAATGAACCTGTAACATGGCAAAAGCAAGTGTTGTGTAGGTATTGATACACTGTGAAAATGCAGTACAGTAATTGGACATCTTGTTTATTTGAAAAACATTTTGTGTGAGTGTCTTAATACAACCCCATTTCCAAAAAAGTTGGGATGCTGTGCAAAATGTAAATGAAAACAAAATGCAATGATGTGCAAATCATTTAAACAATACATTTGAAAATAGTACAAAGACAACAAATCAAATGCTAAAACTGAGAAATGTTATTGTTTTTTGAAAATCATATGCCCATTTTGAATTTGATGCCAGCAACACATTCCAAAAAGGCTGGGACAGGAGCATGTTTACCACTGTGTTTCATCACCTCTTCTTTTAACAACACTCTGTCGTTTGGGAACTGAGGAGACCAACTGCTGTAGTTTTGAAAGCAAAATATTTTCCTATTCTTACATGATACAGGATTTCAGCTGCTCAACAATTTCGGGGTGTCCTTTGTCATATTTCTCATTTCATAAAGTGCCATATGTTTTCACTGGGTGACAGGTCTGATCTGCAGGCAGGCCAGTTTTAGCACCCACAGCAACTTTTTTTACTACAGAGTCATGCTGTTGTAATATGTGCAGAATGTGGTTTGGTTCATTACAAAAAAAAAGGTAAATACATTTGGAATATATATATATTTTTTTATATAGGTAGATATTGGTGAGGGCTGAAAATCATGTACTTGTATTTGATCTAAAAGAAATGGTATCGATAATTAATAATGTTAACATCAGTCCTGTATCATTTTTGGAACACATGATTTGGAGTTAAATCGCTCAAAGATGTTGGTGTTGTTGTTCTCCACAGGTTCTGAATGAAATGACTGATCTCCTCTCATCATCTAGAAACTATGAGAATTATAGGCAGATGTACAGCAAGTGCACGGGCTTCAAGATCCCCATCTTAGGGGTTCATCTCAAGGACCTGATTGCTGTGAACGAGGCCATGACTGACTACGTGGAAAACGGCAAGATCAACGTGCAGAAGCTTCAGGCACTCTATAATCACATCAACGAGCTTGTCCAGCTACAGCAGAACCCACCTCTCCTGGATGCAAACAAAGACCTAGTTCACTTACTGACTGTCAGTACTGTCTTTAGTCATTACACTATTACAGTGAACAGTTATAGGTTATGGGCTTAGGGGTTGCATTTTGTTTCCCAATATCAAAGTTTATATGGATAAATGGAGTCAGTAGTTTAATAAATTAGACTACATAGGCTGCAATCTGCTTTATCATCACCAGAATTAACTACTACCCAGTGGTATAAAAAAGTTATTTCATGTAATGTTTTAATTAATTAATCAGGTAATTAAATATTGTATAGTCTAGATGTAAATCGAGCATTTTAAGCTAAGTGTTGTCAATTACAGACGTATAAACTAATTTCTGAAGTATTCTGATAATCTAACAGTGTTTACTCAAAACATTTCCTTGTAATTTGGGGCAGTGTGACATACAGAAGTGTCTCATCTTGCAAAAAAGAGAACTTTAGAATTTGATCCTACTTCTTGTTCAAACTAAGGGTATTTTCCTAAAACTCCTCTAGAGCTTGATGTGCAGTGTTTCTCATACCATAACATGAATTCATGAGATTAAGAATGACCAAGAAACATCTATTTGTTCTCCCATACAGCTGTCTCTTGACCTGTATTACACTGAGGATGAAATCTATGAGCTGTCATATGCAAGAGAGCCAAGGAACTACAGAGCTCCTGTGAGTGAAGGTGCAACCAGTATGTGTACAGCTATAATAAAACTGTACAGTGTATAGCATCTTAAAAATGCATGTATATATACACAATACAGTGTATTACTTCATGCATCTGTTTTCTTTTTTTATTCCACCAGCCAGCAACCCCCTACAGGCCTCCAGTGGTGGTAGACTGGGCTTCAGGTGTAGCTCCCAAACCCGACCCCAAGACCATCAGCAAGCATGTCCAAAGAATGGTTGATGTATGTGGTTCATCACCCAAAATAGTCAGTTCTTTGAGTGTCCTCTGGCTTCGAACAGAGGCCCTTATTGGTTTTGAAGGCTGTTTATATTAATATGTGGGTTTACAAAGAGGCTGTTTTTGTTTTCTTATTAGAACAAGAAATGTCTTATAAGTATAATACATGTTGATTTTGGTCTTGTTGTCTTTTCTGGCAGTCTGTATTTACAAACTATGATCATGATGGAAGAGGCTTCATTTCCCAGGAAGACTTTGAGAAAATCGCCGCAAGCTTTCCTTTTTCATTTTGTGTTACGGACAAGGATAAGTGAGTGTCAGATACAATTGTAATTTGCTGCCTGCTGTGCATGTGAACATGGAATCTTTAATGCATGAAAGCAGAGCCAATGCTACAAACAAGTATGTTTAAAATGACAGATGCTAAATGAGGCCATAATTACTGTTGATGAAAAAAAATGATATTGAAAGATAATTTATGACTAAACTACATTTTCAAGGATACGATTTAATTTAGCTACATGGAGTGATTTGGGCCATACAGGCTGTTAGACATTAAGCTGTTACAGTTCACCTTGGAACATGTTAACATCACCATCGACACCATCATTTTAATTGGTATAGCATCCTACACAAGTTCAGAGTCATTTTTCAATAAATGTATACAGTTGTGAAAAAGTGAAACAAACTGATTACCTATAGTTATCAACGCTACTAATTTAAGGAAACCTGTACAAATTTCCCAGATCTCTATCAAATTTGGGCCTGATAAATCTCAGTAAAGAAGACATTACACATGTTGAAGCCCAGGACTTTTACCAGAAGGTTTGCTTTCATAAATGATCCATGGTTACACCTGGACCGGAAAAGAAGCTGTTTCACCCTTTTTTTTACCTTGATGTATCTTCACCACAGAGATGGGCTCATCAGCAGGGAGGAGATCACAGCCTATTTCATGCGGGCCAGTGTTATCTGTTCCAAACTTGGCCTGGGTTTCTCTCACAACTTCCAAGAGACCACATACATGAGGCCTACCTTCTGTGATAATTGCTCTGGATTTGTAAGTCACATTCACACACATTAATGGTCATGTAGCATCCTAATTTAATGACCTTGCTGAGTCCTGCTGTAATGTGTTTGTTTTTCCTTTCATAGTTGTGGGGCGTCATTAAACAAGGATACAGATGCAGAGGTGGATATTCATTCCTTTAATATTAAATACCTGCATAGATAAAACAGTAGATGTAGCATGATTGACCCTTCACTAAGCCCCTCCCATAAATACCATTTAATCCAATCGTAGCTTAGCAACTGTAACTAGGACCAGGCACCTCTGACAAGCTTTTAGAACTTTACAATATGCAGCAAGGTGGTAAGTGTAAGATCTGGATTAAACAGTGTGGAAAACTGTATTATCAATAGATGGCTTCATATTATGAACTCTGGATCAAGCTGATATTCTCTTTTACAGAAATGAATAGCATTTTGGAAAATCGCAACTGTTGTGTACTGTAGTAAACTACAATACTCCAGAGCCAAAATGTCTTGCCATTTGGACATTTTTCCTCTGAATGTCACTGGATTTCCTAAATTATGAGTTTGTTAAAGAGTGTAAAATACAACTATTGCCACATGCAGTCTATCATTACTGCGCACTAAACTGACACAATAAGACTAGCAACATGATGTTTTAGGCTGCAGTTTAAGGAGCTGGTGTTGGTAAATATATTGAAATTTAATAGTAGATTTACTTTCCTATGATGCACAGGAGTGTTAGCTTGCTTGAGGATGCATGTAGCATTATTCATATTTTGACTGCTAAATGATCTTGTAATTCAGAGAATCCAGTGACACTTGACAAAAGAATGTACACAGCACAAAACTTTATGGCTTTGGGGACATTTTAGTTTACCACAGGATGCAACAGTAGCAATTCTGAAAACACTATCGTGGAGAAAATTCGTTTAGGCCCAGAGCTCCTAATGTGGACATGATGTTGAGAATGACGCACGACTTTAGAGAGTCTGTCAAACCCAAGAAAAAAAATCACATGTAGCACATAGTAAATTATCTGCTCCAAAATACATGGCTAAGTTACCTAACTGGTATATCGCTGTTGTCGGAAAAAAAAACCTCATATCTCCATTTATTGTCATTTTTCAGTTTTTGACACAATTTGAAAGTGCATGTTGTCCTTTACATTGTGTGTAAATTTCATTTTCATGAACCAATAGAAATGACTCAAAATGACATGGCTGACGTCTGGTTCCATTGACTTACATTAAAATTAAAATGTATTTTTTCCTTCTCCTGTAAAGTTACCGTTTTAGAGATACAAGGTTTTCTTCCGACAGCAGCGACATCTTGCTATCTAACCATATAACAGTTAGCTGACTAGCAACCCTTGCTTTCTCAAAGTCTTTTTTGTTATTGTTAACTCTTTGGATTTGGATGTCATTTTAGCACTGATAATGAAATTAAATTAATATGATAGGTAGAAAAACATTCTAATTGGCAGTGTCATTGTTGCATTTTGTAAATGTGTATTGCTGCTTGCTAGCTAGCTTAGCTAACAGAGTATTAAATAAGCCAATGGGTCATACACACTAAACCTTACTCTTAAAATGCATATAATCATACACAGGCTTATATGTCTTTCAGCAGTGGAACAATGCAGACAGACTCACTAGTTTTCACTTTTGACTATGATCTTTAGGCTTTAACCTGTATTTTTATCCTTTTAGTCCTCTTGCTGAGAGGTATGATATTATTTATGTAACCTCAAATGTGTACAGGGAAACTTGTATACTAACTCCTGAGATTTTGAATGTATTGCTTTAAAATAAGTAAGAATTTAATATGGTAAATCATCTATCCCTGCCATAGGAAACTCCTAGAGCTCACATGCAAGGCTCGAAAGCTTGTCAGATGTAGCAGCAGGACCTAAGGGGGGTAGGGCTTAGCGCAAGGCCAATTCACAAGGTCTAACAGCTTTATATCATGTCTTTTACTTCACCTGATGCTCTTGATTCCGATTGTGCAGATTGTGGAATGAACTGCCATAAATCCTGCAAAGATCAAGTGGCATTTGAGTGTAATAAGAATGCTAAAACCAGCAGCAATGCAGAATGGAGCCCCCCGTCTAATACTACAGACACCACAGCACCTGGAGTTCACGATGGTGAGTTTGCACAACATTTAAAGCAATAAAAAGAACAAAAAAACAATTAGTATTCTATTGTGAATTAAATGGTAAGGACTAAAAAAATGATATGCTACAGAATAACTAGATACACCTTGAGGAGTTAGTCCACATCTGAACATTTTTAGTTTAATTTTGTACTGATTTCAGGACTCAAAACAATTTTTTTTCTTGTAGTTTTAGATGAAACACAGTTCATATACGCATGTGATGCTCCGACAGACAACGTTGAGCGGCACAAACAGTTAAGCCCAAGTTCTGCATCATATAACAATCCCTCTGTAGCAAATGCACTGTCGAGGACCTTTACAGTGCACAGGAGTACCCAGACAGAGGCAATTTCAACACCCAGCCTACTGCAGCCCACCCTACTGTCCCCCAGCCCCACATCACTCACCCCCTGCCCCAGCCCTGTACCTCAGCGGAAACGAGCTGCCCAGAAGACCTCCACCACCCTGAACCCTGGAGAGGAGAACAAGTCAACCTATGAATCTTTGGAGAAGGTTGGTGGTGTAACGTAATGAATTCAAATGACAAACATCTATCCTTATCAGTAATAAGTAGACCTTGAATTGTAATTCATAGGGTTTTTATGAACACTAACTGTATCACTCTGGTGATATGATATTGTCTGTATTTCTTATTGTTAACTCGTAACCAAATAGTTAATAATAGGCCAAAATTTGCTGAAGAAAATGTTTGACTTGTCATTTTTACATATAGTATAGTATTGTATCTCCATTTTTGACATTTTTCAGTTTTTGACATAATTTGAAAATACATGTTGCTCTTTGCAATGTATGAAAATTTCATGATGAATTAACTAAAAGAAATTACCCAAAATGACTTGGAAAAAAGTCTCATTCCATTACATGACTTACATTCCTTCTCCTGTGAAATTACCATTTTGGAGATACGAGGTTTTCCTTCAGACAACAGTGATATATATATATATAATATATATATATATAATGGCAGGTCAAGGACAGCACACTTAATAAGAATAAAGATATTCATCATCCAGGAATTTATGAGCACAGATGGGTCAAGTCTCACCGCTTTACAAAAAAATGCTTCAACAAATAACCCAACAATTTAAGAACATTGTTCCTCAATGAGCCAATGAGCAAGTGCAATGATTTTAGGCGTTTCACCCTCTACAGTGCCTGCAGTCCAGACCTGTCTACCACTGAAAACATGTGGCGCACTAGAAATTGCAAAATATGACAACAAAGGCCCTGTGCGGCTACACAGCTGAAGACTTTTATAGCAGAGGAATTCTATAATTGCTTCTTTCATTTCTTTTAGTAATCCTTGTTATGTGTGTTTGTGTACTCAGGAGAATCAGTCTCTTCTGAAGACCAATGAAGGCCTCCGGCGGAAGCTGAAAGAAGCTGAGCGCGAGATGGAGATCCTAAAGACGCTCCTGAAACGACACACTCTTCGCCCAGTGGAGGAGGATTCCTCCTCCTCCTCTTCCTCTTAACCTGTTTGTTGTCCCCTTAAAACACAAGACAAGGACAATTACTGCAAAGTTGGACTTATGGATTAGCAAACTATATTAATCAATATAAAATAGTCTTGAATTAAGTCCAAAGCCATTTTATTTAGTTGACCGTAGGGGAGTTTGAAATAACTTACAAATTCAGTTTTATAGCAGACGCCTCAAGTATTGAATAACACTGTTTAGATATGTGTGATTCTATGAAGATCAAGTTACTGTCATTATTTATTGTGATGACCTCTGTTTAGGCTAACTGTAATTTGGCCGACACCTAGGCAAAATTGCATTTTTTTTTTTTTTAAAAAAAAGCATGTTTTCTTCTTTTTTAGCAACTTTGCTTATGTTAACTGTAGATTGTTTAACTACGCTTTCCCTAATAGTCCTAGAAAATAAAATGCTACTGTGAAATTGTGTGTCTGTAATAATTTTCAGTGTCTGGTGTGTTAGAGCGGAGAATTTAGGCGGCTAGTTTTAAACACAGCTTAGTAATCAGAGATGGCATTGATATTGGTATTGGAGACTGTTTCAAGGCAGTTAAAGGATAGCACCTAAAAGTACCTGTCATTGAGTTTAGAGCATGAAAAACACTGCCAAGGGACAAGACTTTGTGCATCTGAGCTTCATCAAGATCGTGTTTGATAACAGCACATGCCCTGTGCTGGTTTGGGATCTAGAGGAAGGTAAGATGACTACAATTAAACAGCTCATGGTGGCACTGCCTTCTATTGTGCTCTGCTGACATACCTTTGAATGAAAATGCACACCCCAAGCACACGTCCAAGATCAAGAAGGCCAAGTCACTGAGGGTTCTTTAGACTTTATTCAGAGAGATTCTGGAACAGTGAAGTTACTCATTGGTGAATGGAGAGTTCCAGATTACTGCTAGGAGACCAGCACTGCTCTATAAGTTTTGATACATGTGAGTTTTGTACAGATTGTGATTCATAACAACAACACATGTCCTGTCCTCATATGGAATCTACAGGCAAAACAGGAAGAAAAAAACAGATGAAGAAGAAAGAAGAACGGACCACTGCTGCAGAGACAGATAATGACACATGAAACACTGGAGGATCAACAACAGAACCAAAGGTTCTCTTCAAGGTCCCTTGAACTGCATTGATGTATCCTACCTTACCAGGACAGATTTAGACTCAAAGAATTTTTTTACCATCAGGGTACCAAAGAATACCACATCAGTGAGAGGAGAGGAGGGGAATCACTGCCAGGAGCTCGCCACCTCCTGCTGGGAAAGGGTTTTTACTTTTCACTATGGACACATGCACATCTAGCACACTTTTTTTCAGTTTACAGCAATTTTGAATGAATTTATGGCTGCATTCCAGAGGCTTTCTTAAGAAAAAACTTGTGAAGGTTCTTAACACAAACACTGAGAAGTTTGTAAGAATCTTAAATGCAATTCTTAATTATTTTCTTATGAATTTTTAAGAAAATGTTCACTGTTTTCTTATGTATGCTATGTTGCCTTTTACCATGTACCATAAATGACACAAGATATTATTTCCGTTATTTAGTTTAATCCACTCAGAGTACAACAAAATGGAGGAAAAACATCAAACCAAGTGTTCAAAAAAATTAGCAAACAAGAACTAGAGGTACTGGTGGAAGAAACAGCCAACAGGTAAAAAAATCCTCATTGGAAAATATGATAATTGTGGGGTGACAGACAAGGGTGGACAGGAGTAGCTATTAGTGTATTAGAGTAGCTAGTAGTGTCTATAATAAATTCAGATAAATTTAGAACTCGTACAGCCTAAGACAAATGAGAGGTTTTCATAAGGTTAAGAAAACATTTAAGAACATAATATTTTCAAAAATACCACTTGTTCTATTCTTAAGAAAATAGTTAAGAAAAGATAATTCTTAAGAAGTTATTTGAAGAATAACAATTTCTCATAACCTTTTTCTTAAGAATGAAGTTAAGAGAAAATACACTTTTAAGAAGATTTTATTTCTTAAGACGCTTTCATGAATCTGGCCCCAGTATTTTAACTGGACTGTTCTGTTCTGGTCACCCAGACAGCTTTTGTTCAATACCAGCATGTCGACTATAGTTCACAGTGTTACATCAGCTTTACCACCACTATCCCTTCTCTCATCAGCTGATTCTGTACAATCACCTGTTTTTTAAAAATTGTTTAATATACACCTTTTTAAGTAGACTATGTCTGTTAATACTATATTCATAGTATTCGATTAGGTCATTAAGAAGACCACCTCGCCATGTTGGTAGGTGAGCTGTAACTCTGACTGTGCTCTGATAGAGCTCTCCTTTACTGCAGTTAGAACACTGCAGGTGGATATAAACCAAGCAAAATAGGCCAGAATGACTAAAAAGATTTAAAGACATGTAAACACTTAAGATGCAGTGTCCAGAAAACGCTTTGAGAAGATTTGTATTTGTATAGCCTGCACATCTCCAGAGTTCAGAACATTACAGTGCGTGATATTTTATAAAAACTAATAAAAGTGCCTACCAAAGCTGTCAAGGCTCTTAAATAATAAACTCATACATATAAGCTTTAGTTAGCTTCCTCTTCGCAGCTCCTCGTTTGAATCTTCCGTTCCATCTTAAATAGTGCTTCAGTTACACTGAGGTGCCTTAAACGCAGAACGAATTTCGACAGTTAGCTAATATGGATTCAGCATCGGCTCACCTCAATAAATGCATCATTTTACCTCAATAAATTGTCTTTAATCAAAAAATACCTCAAACTTTCGCTTGGAGACGTTTAGTGAGCACCTAACGAGTAGCACAGCGAAGCTAGTCAGCAATTGGAGCTGCTGAACGCGTCTCCCAGGCTGATCTAACGCTGATCTATCCCAAACCACACATTTCTGTACTTCACCTACTACACTAATGAGTGCACTTCTTATCGTATACGCGCTATTTTGCATACTATTTAGTGTGCTAGTATGCGGTTTGGAACGCGAAATAATAACGCCGCGGGAAATAAGCCGTGTACATTTTATCTTTCATTTGTCATCACATGAGTCAGTACAGTCAAATTCATTGGTGCAACGCGTTTCACTGCCTTTGCTGGGTTGTTTATGGCTTTATCTGATTTCAAACAGCCACAATTCTGCTGAATGACCTAAATGGTGGCCTCGCGATTGTGACGTCATCGGAATACTCTCTATTAAGAACATATCAGCGCTGTTAAGTGAAATGGTATGTGTGTGACGCCATATTTAAACAACGACACTATGACGTCATCACATCAAGAGCCCAAATCCAGTAGTATATAAATAGATGCAGTGCCAACACTTCATTTTTCACTTCGACAATGATGGGGAGAGGACTGATAGAGAAATTCTCGCTTTTGCGCTGCTATCTCTGCCTTCTGTGCTGTTCTGATGTGTCCGTGATTGAAGACGCTCATGGACCCCGAGAGTGCATCTCGGAGGGTCCTCGGCGAGATTCCTCACCAGACACGTCGAACTCCTCGTCACAGACTCGAGAGCTCCAGGAACTCTGCCAGAAGACTGTTTCAGAGCAGCTCAAGCAGAGCACCAACAACGCTGACCTACAAGACTTGGCGCAGACGAAAACTGTCCAGATTGTGTTCGATGACAACAACACGCATCCGGTGCTGGTGTGGGATCTAGAAACAGAAGAAGAGCTGAAGAAAGAATAGACCACCTATAGGTGTACACACTTAAAAATATGGTTTTCAAGGGTGATTTTCAAACTGGTTCAATGTAGCACCAAAAAGGGTTCTTCTACTGTTACGATTTAAAGGGTAATCAGTGTTGGAGTTATTTGACAGTGTTGATCAGTGTAAACCCAACTCTGCCCACAAATTTCACTTCTTCTGCTGGAGACAAGGAGACACATACCGGTGCCATATTCCTCCTCTCATGCAGTTTATGCGGTAAGTGTTAATTCAGTCTTACTGAATACATTTTACACTGATGCTGTGAAATGCATTTTATACAATGAGTTGGTCCCCGCTTTGCAGCTATAACACTTTCCACTCTTCTGGGAAACTCTCTGAAAGATTTTGGAGTGTGTCTGTGGTAATTTTTGCCCATTCATCCAGAAAAGCATTTGTGAGTTCAGACTGTGATGTTGGACGAGAGGGCCTGGCTTACAATTCAAAGGTGTTTGATAGGGTTGAGGTCAGGGCTCTGTGTGGGCCATTGAAGTTCTTCCACACCAAACTCACCCAACCATGACTTTATGGAGCTCACTTTGTGCACTGGGGCAGTCTTGCTGGAACAGAAAAGGGTCTTCCCCAAACTGTTCCCACGAAGTTGGAAGCATACAATTGTTCCAAAATGTTTGGGTGTGCTAAAGCATTAAGTTTTCCTTTACTGGAACTAAGGGGCCTCAGCCAACCCCTGAAAAACAACCCCATAGCATTATCCCTCCTCCACCAAACTTTACAGCTGGCAGAGTGCAGTCAGGCAGGTAATGTTCTTCTTGCGTTCACCAAACCCAGACTCATCCATTAGACTGCCAGATAGAGAAGCGTGATGCGTCACTCCACAGAAAGCATTTCCACTGCTCCAGTGGCGGCGTGCTTTACACCACTCCATCCAACACTTGGCGTTGTGCTTGGTAATGCAAGGCTTGCATGTAGCTGCTCAGCCATGGAAATCCGTGCTGTGAAGCTCCCGATGCACAGTTTTTTGCTGATGTTAATGCCAGTGGAGGTTTTGAGTTATTGAGTCAGCAGAGCGTTGGTGATTTTTATGCACTATGCATCTCAGCACTCAGTGACCCCTCTCTGTAACTTTACATGGTCTGTCACTTCATGGCTGAGTTGCTGTGGTTCCCAAACGCTTCCACTCACAGCTGATTGTGGAATGTCTAGGAGGGATGAAATTTCACAAACTGACTTGTTGCAACAGTGGCATCCTATTGCAGTACCATGCTTGAATTCAGGGAGCCCTTTAGAATGACCCATTCTTTGCACAAATGTTTGTGAAGGCAGACTGCATGGCTTGGTGCTTTTTTTTTAAAGCAGGGAAACTCTATACAACACATTCTCCAACAATCTGAAGAACCATTCCACCAGGCACAGAACCATTCAATCAAGCGTATGGTGCTATATAGAATTCATGGTTCTAAATAGAACCATTCCCTTTACTAAAGAACCTTTGAAGAACCATCTTTTTAAGTGTGTACACTTTCTGCACCTCACTATGAAGACGGACATGGACATCTAGCCCAGCTTTTTCGCTTCATAAAATAAAAGTGAGAATGCTTCTATTTTTGTCTTATTTCATTAAAATAAACAAGAAATTCTGCTACTGTTATCAGGATTTTGGCAAATAAGGGATTTGTTAATGGACAAAATAAACTTGTTACTTTAAGTGAAGATAAGAATGTTTTTATTATTATAAAAAGCTACTGAGGGTCCTCCAAGCTGTAACTCATGTATGGTTTATTTGAGCTGGTTTTATCCCTCTTTTTCAAATATGCCAAACTCTGTGAAATTTTTCATCAAGCTCTGCTTACAAGTGAATTTTCATGGATTTTGTGGGCACTTGTGCTGAAAATGACCTTTCAACGTAAAAAAAATGCCTATTCACATTCTTCAACGTCCCTGCTTGCAGTCTGAGCAGACAGATAGAATAAAGACTGTAAACATGTTCTCAATCAGCCTGCTCAGTCTGAATCTGTTTCATTCATCTGAGCGGTCAGCTGCTGAAGTTCTAAACTTTAGAAAAAGCTCGTAAGTCACCCGAATTCACAAGTCAGGACTGACACCACCTGCAGCCGAGAGGATGCTCAGTCACCTCAGTTAATCAACTGCAGTCCAGCTTTACTGTGGAGAGTTACTGTGGGGCAGAGAGCGGTAAAGTTGGTTTTCTCATGGAAAGAAAAAAAAAAAGTGGAAAAATTATCACACCTACATTCAGTCACCCCTGAGAACACAAAGAACAAAATACAACTAAATTATATTTAAATTTTGCTGAATATAAAGACTCCGAAGCTGGTTCATAAACTGCGCTCCAAATTACTGTGCATTTTCTGAATCAGACATGGAGGAGTTTATACATCATTCACACTTGTCTCTAAGCAACTTTGATGAGTAAGGGTCAGTGACCATAAAGGGGGACTTTTACATTCTCATCCTTACTTCTGTGGTGGCCTGTACAGCAGGCCGAGACAATGTGATTTTTTTATGCTATATGTAAGTTATAGTAATAGGTTTAGTTGTTCCTTCAATGCTTCAGTTAATGGAATACTACACGTTATGTGCACCTTACTATAGTTATGAGTAGAAATAATAATGTACTTGAAAGATCAAAGCTAATGTGCTTTACTGGGTTATTCTTAAACCTGCACTATGTAACATTTAGGGAATTGGAAACCTCTCTGGTGAAAATATGTAACTGCACAAAACATTCTGCAATGTTTGGTGTGCTTTGGACCCCAACAAGTGGATGAATCTGAGTTGAAAGAGTATACAAAGAGTGTAACAGTTTAATGCTGATTTTGAATTTGAGACCTAAACATTGAGCCAGACCTTTTTTTGAGCAGAAAACAGAATAAAACAGATGTTTGTCACCTATGTAAATTTCATAATGAAGAGATGAAATAAATAAAAACTATTTATTCATCACAAAATTACATTTATTTCTTGGTTATAAAAATATATTTCATGTCACACCGTCATGACAACTCCGACTTATGAAGTGATTCCAGTAAATCTTGACAGTTGTAGGATTGTGCAATAGCCTTCATACTCTCAAATGCCTTGATGGTCCCAAGAAGAATCACCACATCTGATAGAACAGCCCTGTAGGAGAAGAAACCACAACAGAGTTAGAGCCTACAGTGACGTCTAGAACATCATGTGGGAGAAGATGAGTGAAAAGGGCTGTTTCTTAACTTGACTTTATATTGAAATAGGTAAGAAAGCTGAGCCGATATGACATTGCATTCCTTTAGAACAGATTCTCTTGCCAATGTTTTGCGTTTGCTATCCAATTCTTTGCTTTCCATGGAATACAAGTAGTTTTGATGACACCTACTACTGAACATATGAGTGAAATCTATGCTCCCATTAACTGTTATCAGGCCGCAACAGTCAATTATTCATGTTAATTGACTAATACTCGATTAATCAGCTTAATAGTGGCCAGTAAATATGAAGAGCTCTAACAATAAAACACTGGCAATGTCCGTACAAATAGAGGGACCCATCCCAAAGAGCCGAATTACAACCATGGAAAAAAAACTCACTTTGAGCTAAAATAAGTAAAACAAACAAAAAAAAGTCATATAATGATAAATATGTAGATTAACATGGTAACAGGCTGCAGCATCATTTAACTGGTTTAAGATTTTAACATACAGAGCTGAAGCAAGGGTTAATGCAAGTTTAGGAAGGAGGCAGCTCTAGCTGTGTTGTAACATACCACTATCTTACATTGTTAGTTCACTTCGGCTACAATAGTCTCAAGAGCTGTGCTTCACAAACAAATGGTTTGTGAATCTATGCAAATGTTTTGTAAGGAAACGCAAAATTACTGCGAGAGAACACAATCTCTCTCTTGGTTCCTTAGAAAGTGCCTTTCAAAGCCTTTGTTGTAAAGTGTCAAAGAACAAACTTGTTTCACAAGACCTGCAGCTGGCTGTGTCCTTGTTGTCTTTACATAACAAATGTGTCGTCTGCACAAGGTGCTTGCTGAAGTTTTGAAGCTGAGGTAGAGATGATCCAGCACTGAGATCCATAAACCATGACTTTGGAAAACAATCAGTGACCTGTTGGACAACATTCAGTCACTTTACAGATGCAATTACTAACAAGAAAAGCTAATGTGCTCAAAACAGCTTTTATCTGTTTTATGCTATACATAGCACAAGTACCTTTTTGCATTTCTGGATGACGTGCTTTGGACTGGACTCGTTGAGAAGGGTCATCATTAAGTACCGATTAAGAAGTCTGTCCAGCATCAGCTCCTTCAGAACACTCTGAGCAACCAAACCATCCCATAATGCCATGTTTCCAAGCAGCTGAAAAAAAAAACAAAAATATAATGTCTACCGCAACAAAGTACAAAAGTCTGGGCAATATTTATCTGGACCTGAAATAATCCAAAGTAATCACACAAGCAAAGAACAAGAATATCTGAGGCAAATAATACAAGCATTAAACTTTACTTGAGCATCTGATTTTTAAACTGTTGGTGGTGTCAGTGCAAGGACATGGCCGAGAAATTAAACTCTATCAGAAATATCTGTCAAATTAACAAAGATGGCAAAATATCACACTGCTATTCACCTAAATGTGTACTATTCAGTTGGTAATTCATGACTTGATAAGTGTAGCTGCTTGTGTCTCCTTGTATGACTTCCAGTAAATGACATGTCTGTAATCTAACCAACTTCAGATGACCTGTTTATCTTTGTCTTTGCACTGCTTAGTTCTTTGCTGGGGTCTTTCATAAGTGAGAATGAGGACTTTGTCTCTGATTCTACTTCTAGTGTTTGAGAGAAGGTCTTTATATTCAAGTGCCCCGGACTCAGTGCCAACAGAGGTCAGTTCATTTGTTGTGTTTGTTGGTCTGAGTGGAGGATTAAAAGAAAAACGTTGTACCTTAACAGCCCACCAAAACTGTCGGTTCTGAAATTGGAATTGCAGTGAAGACTTGTTGTCCAAATAGCTGAAAGATGCAAATAGTTAAACAGAATTAATTTTAAAAGATCTTACACAATGTTAAAACAATAACCTTTCACATTAGCCAAACAATTCCCATTTTCCTCCAATGTCTGGTACCATAAATTCTAATACGTTTTACTACCAGTGATATTACTGCAGTAGTCGTATATGAAAACACCACTAATTTCACTAATTTCATTTGATTTTCCACCTAATTTATCAATAACTCTCCTCTACTGCATAAGAAAAATCAATGTAAGAGAGCAAATCTTATCACAGGCATATGCTATATATGCAAATTGATATTTGCATTGATGGAATAGAGAGGGACATTGTGTTAACCTATTAGGGGTTATTGTAATAACCTAGTAGGGAAAGATGGCAAAGATAAACCTTAAAGCCTTTTATTTACACAATATAAACAATAACAATGCAAATAATTACAATACAAACTATTAATAATAACAAAATGTCAGCATGAACTCCAATGTTTCAATGTTCCATTTAAACATTGCTATGCCAAAGAAAACAAGGGCCTCTTGTATGCTTACATTTTTGGGTAAAGTGGGATGAAGATATCGTTATCTACAGCACTCCTCAATCTCTGGACAACAGCTTCTATAAAGGCCTGTGGGAATCATATGAAACATATCAAACTATGTTAAACTTTCCAAAAGAGCTCATTTAAACCAGCAAAAAGAACTGCAGTATAATACCTTGGCAGGTTTGCTTTGTCCACTAGCAAAAACAGAGTAATCCTCTTGTATTCTCTGGCAAAGTGCTGTGAGACATTGGGACTGTTGCGAAGACAAAGGGTCCCACACAAGCTCCACAAAACCTTTGGGGGCGTACAAAGCAAAACATTAAAATACTGGATTATTAATTAAATTGTTAGAGAAGATTTGACGAATTTAAAGTAAAATGTGAAGAAAGTAGGACTGGGCAAAATGGCAAAAATAAAACATCACAATACTTCAAAACAAACTCAAACTAAACTGACTGATTTGAAAACACTTTTTGACAATTGAAAACAACATGGTGATACACGTTCTACAATGAAAGACAGAGAGTGCCCTCTATTCAGAGTGACAAATCACATACTTGGATTTAAGACCCTTCTTAGCTTTGGAAATTAGGCACTTACCTTGAATTTTGGGTAGGACAGTCTTTTCTACGATAGCAGGCAGCGTTTTCTTATCAGCATTTTCAGATTCCTCATAGCCTTGCCCATGACAGAACTTCTCCACAGCAGAGTACCATGGCAATGCTTCAAAATCCTCGCCCTCTGCCTATGAGAGAATAATTTATAAAGCTCATGCAAGTTTTTCAGAATCACATGTCCAGCACTGACAAATCACAAAATAGACTAGATTTATGGGTGCACAATACATCAGCGGTTGATTTTGGTCAATAAATGGGAAAACTGACTTATTATTAATATTGGCCTGGTATGGGAACTACAGTCGATCATTACAGCTGATAGCTTGATGCACCACAATCAGGCGTGGAGCTGAAGTCTGCAGGATGGTAGATCTGAAGGAGCAGCGTTGGTGACTACTGGCATAAAGGATAACACTGGAGATTCCCCATCCAGACAGAAATGCCACTGCTAAACCAATACAAGCCCCTGGGGAGGATTCCTAACATTATGTTTGTGTGCCATTGTAAGCTGCAGTGGATAAGAGTGTTTGCTAACTATTTAAATGTTTATAATAAGGATCGTATCTGATGTCTGATTTAGCACTGTAAAATTAGGTAATAAGCCATCATCTAACCTCACAGCACTTTATATAGAGATTATAGTGTGAATTTCTTTTAAAGAAAAATTATAAATTATTAATACCATTGGCTTCCAAAGGTATTCTCAGTTATTGTTATTTGCCCAGAAAAGACAAATAAGTGCATTCCTATATGTATTTAGCAAAAAAAAAAACTTTGCTTTTCTGGTAAATAAATGAAAATTAACTAATATGAAAACAAAAACTACTGAATAAAGTAGCAGAAAGTAGCAGTAGTGAAGAAAACAGTGATTGAAGATACCTTCAGAGGGTCCCAACCAATAAGCTGGTGTCGTATCAGAGGAGCTAGAAGTTTAGGAAGGCACAGACCAATGTAGGCATTGTTGTAAGACTCTGGAAAGGAGACCCGCCATTCATCAAACCTGGACAAGATTTTCTTCACATCAGAGAAGTCCTCCTGAACATCAGCAAAAATCTCCTGAGATCTCTTTAGTATGTCAGCTGTGGAGGAACAGTACAGATTCAGCATTAACATCTGTTGTCTGAACACACAGTATTTTCACTCAGTTTCATTACATGAGTATAAAGCTGCAAGTGAACGTCCTCCCAGTACATACAGTCAAGTTTAAACACTCGGACAAATTATATGTTTTGTTGATTTTCTTAGTGATTAACACATCCTCTACAGGGACTTAAATATGGCATTTTCTGCAATTTTCATAGCACTATTTTTATTTATTTGCTGAATTTTACATATTTTAAAAAACAAAACATTAAAGTGCCATAATTTTACACAGGCCACATTTTATATCTTAGTTTTTTTTTTTCAAATATGTTAAATTCAGAAAATGAACAGTAAATGTGCATTAAAATGTGCAGGAGTGTTTGACCAGCGTGACAAGGATGCCCAAACCTTTGCATACAGCTGTATACTTGTATGGGAATGGTGAGCTGACACACACACACACACACACACACACACACACAGGATACAGGATACAAATGCAGTAAAATGAATACATTAAAGATATTTAAGATATTTTAAGGCGGTAGCCCAGCCTCACCTAAACATACTGTTCTTCCCTAGTACAATAAATATGTTATCCAAATCCTTTTTTTAAAGCTATGATCCACAGATTTTGATTTGAGAAAATGTGAATGTGAAAATGTGAGACAGTTTTGTTTCAATGCAAGAAACCCTTTTAAAAAGCCCCACCTCTTTTGCTCTGCAGCTCTGCCTCTTGCTCTGCTGTTGGTTCCAAATCAGCTGGGACACTCCCACAATCATCTTCTAAGCGCACACTAGAATAGGAACAGAAATGGGGACATAAACAACATTTCACAAAAAGACAGCTAGTTCTGCACATCAACTGACTGAAAGCTAACTCACCTGTCTTTATGTGGGCCAGTCCCCAATGCCTCCCCGTTACTGTTTGTATTGGTGCTGTCTATAACAAATGAAAGAGAAGAAAACTTGAGTATTTTCCACATAAAGGACGTGAAATCTTCAAGAAGACAGCAGTAGATGATCAATGCAACTATACCTGTGACTTTATTACATAATTGCAATTATTTGAGATGATTACAATCATCTATTTCCACATTAGATTTCACAATAATACTAAGCTGCAACAAACTAAATATGTATGTACCCAAATGTGTGTGTTGGGTTGAGGCAAATACATGTAAACAAAAGAAAGCAGTAAATGCATTCATTGAGACATCATGCAAACAAAAAAGTTCACACTTCTAACGTGGTGCTCTAACATGTTTAGAGGGCAGCATGAGTCGTGTTTTTATTTGTTATCTATGTAGCTAATTCTAATGTTTTTAGCTTGTATGCTAGCAGAACCATTTTTTTGCTTATATTTTCACTCTCAAGAAATAAGTTTTGCTGGACTTTACACACGATTCTGTCTAACTGTAGATATTTGTGAGTGTGTGGGTGCCCAACAGTGTGGATTTGACAGTACCATCAATGTTAGCTACTAAGTAAACATAGCAAAGAACTTAAGTAAATATAGCAAACGTTAATTTCAATTATTTATATGCCATTTAAGAATATTTCATGATCATGACAGGCCAAAATGCAACAATGATAAATGCTCCACAAGAATCAGCATAAAAACTCTTAATAATCTCCATGAATGACAAACACTTTTCTAATTTCAACCTGCATTAAATGTTTTTTAAATCCCAGATGAAACAGACATATGGTGTATGCTTCCACTTACAGGTTAACTGCTGAAGGCGTGTGGACTCCTGTTGTACTGCCTGCCTACTTTGAGATAACAGCGACTCTGCCTGGTCAATATACAGACTGTGCATGTCCAGTTCCACTGAGTTTATTGAGGCCATCTGAAAAACCACAATACATCACATTACAACTACCTGAAAACTCAACACTTTTGCCCAAGACAGAGACGTGATGACAGATGTATTCATTGTATTATTACTTCTTAAGTAATATACAGCAGTATTTCACTTTCACTTTTTGGCACTATGGTGATTTGCCATTAGTATACATCCACTTTTAAACATGTTGCAACAACCAAAAAACTGTCTCATTTCTGTATAAATGCTTAAAATCTTTTTAGTAAATTTTTACATGCACATAACAGCCAAACAAGCACTAGGAATGTAAAAAGTCAGAGTTTGAAAAGTTCCTAGTTGTCATACAGTGCTTAAAATTATTCCTAAATTCTGAGATAAGGATGCTTCTCCTGACCTTCTCAGACAGGCACTCCAGCAGGTTCCGAGAAAAGACGTTCATGCTGCGGTAAAAGAGGAGCTGTTCATTAGCAGAGTGGTTCTCCAGGTTCTCTAGAGAGCTTCTGGCACTCTCCATGTCCAGCTGCATCCTCCTGAGCTCAGCCTCCCGTGCCCTGTGGACTTCCTTCAAACATTCCAGTCTAGAGAAGTGCAAAGACATGCTATGAAAGTCAGCAGGTTATGGATAATTCGTTCCACAGGTTAATAACCATTTAGTCATGTCAGGTGAAGACTTTGGCTATTGTCTGCACTTGATAAGTTCTGTCATGGACAAGGTTATGAAGAGTCCAGGATGTTAGCATACTAACCATACTGCCCAAAATGCCCCTCAAAAAGTACTTCAACTCATCTGCATAGGCTTAGAGAAGTTCTTTTTCCAAAGAATCAATGATGCTACATGATTTATTTTCCCCTTTTTGAGGATCAATCTTTCTGCTGCCTGAAAGGCTTTAGTACAAAAACTACCTTACAGTGAGTCCTCAACCATTGGCAATATCATAACTCTGGAATGACACCCTTGAGAAGCCTTTATTCAAATACAGGGTGCAAAAAATGCTGTTTTAATAACCATCATTATATGCTCAAGCAAGAATTTATAAGGACCTACTTTCCAGTGATTCTTTTCTTTATAATATCAATGCTGACTGGTGGGAGTGTCTCAGGGATGTCAACCATTTTCTTCTGCCTGAGAGGCCTGAAATGATCTCTGCTTTGCTTCTAAAGACAAAAGCCAGTCAGTACAATCATTATTATGATTGAATTCTTGGAAAATCCCTATATCACCTTAGTAGTATCTGACGTTATCTTTTCTTCCAGAATGAAGATATTTACCTGGTGTCTTTTAACTCCTTTCCCTATCTGCTGCTCCTCCCATAGGTGTTGGTCTTCCTCCACCTGGCTATCAGAGCCACTCCCTTCACTCCCACTCTCACCTACACACAAAAAATAAAACAAAACAAATATAATACAGATATTAAAATATATAAATGGCTTTACTTTCCAAAGCTCTATTACTGTATATGACAGGTAACACCTGAAAAGACACTATGATTCCTCGGTCTGTGTATATTATATTATATTCCATATCTTACCCATTTTCTGAGCCATTCGTTCTCTAAGCGTTCTGGATTTGGGTGCAAACTGGATTCTGCGTTCATGATCGTCTGGCTCATCATCACTGTCATGTTCCCTATCGCTCTGGTCCTCCTCTCCGTCTACAGACCCTGGAGTGCTTTCCCGATCACCATCCAGTGGAATGTAATCTCGCTGGGTTCTGGCTCTCCTCCTCTGCTCCTTAGCTGCATGGACTTGCTTGGCATCAGGGATGTTAACTACAGAGGACACACCATGGAAAGCTATGTCACTTGCTTATTCAGTAATCCCTGAAGTTCCAAAAATGAGACTGGCTTCAGTACCTTTCTGTGGTTTAGAAGAAGAGTTGGAAGAGCTGGAAGACGTAGACTTAGTTTTGCTGTCGCTGTCGCTATCTGGAGGCATCTCCTCAGCAGAACTGCCAGCACTGCTAGCCAAGCACTCATTAAGATCCACATCTCTGGAACCTAAAAAAGAGTGGATGTGCAATGTGTATAAAAACCAAACAGAGGCCTATTTTGTTATAGAACTATATAGCTTTGCTTATTAAATCAGGAATGGGTCACACTTTGCTGTGGAGGTGTCAACTTGATGGGCGATTCCTCTTTTTTGCGAGCTTGGAAAATCACAGCTTTATTGATAGACCTTTTCACTTTGAAGTCACATTCCTCATTACCTGTGGAATAGAGGTTCATTTTAGCAACACACACTAAACCACAACTCAGACAGAGTGCTCCTATTAAGCGCAAACACTTAGCTTATGCAAGAACAAGTCATACAAACAGATGCATTATTAAGTGTATCATTGGAGTGCGTTAAGAGAAACTGACCAAATTCAGGATTGGTTACATTAGAATTTTCCCTGCAACCTCTAAATCTTTTATGAATGAATGAATGAACGAGTGTGTGTGTATATGTATATATAGCTGTATATATACAGGTATTTTCAAATTATGTCAAAAACGGAAAAACTACAAAAATGGAGATAAAAGGTTTTCTTCTGACAGCAGCGATATGCTTTTTTTAGCAGTTGGAAAAAATAAATCATAAATAAATCCCCCAAAATGTTAAATTCAGTAAATAAACTGTAATTGTGCATTAAAATATGTAGAAATGTGCTCTCTGCAAAGGATGTGTTCATTTACTAATTTAGAAAATCAAAAAAATGTAATTTAACTATGGGTGCTCAAACGTCTGCATATGACTGTATATATTAGGAACACCATTCGAATACTGGGTAGAAGCTCTCTTTACTTTCAGAACAGCATGAGTTCTTTGTGGCATGGATTCAACAAGCTGCTGGGAACATTCTTTAGAGATTCTGGTCAATGCTGACATGACTACATCACATAATTGCTACAGATTTATCAGTTGCACATTCATACTGAGTATCTCCCACACTACCGCATCCTAACAGCGCTCTATTGGATTCAGATCTGACTGGGGACGCAATGAAATACACTGAACTCATTGTCATGATCCTGGAACCAGTTTGAGATTTGACTTGTGCTTTGTGAAAAGGCGCATTATCAAGCGTGAAGAAGCCATTAGAAGATGGGTAAATTGTGGCCATAACAGGAAGCACATGGGCAGCAGCAATACTCAGATACGCTGAGGCATTTAAATGATGCTCGACTGGTAACAATATTCACATGGATTCAAGCTGTTTATGCCAAATTCTGTATCTATCATCTGTGTGTCACTGCAGAAATTAAGATTTATCCAGCCAGATGACGTTTCTGAATTTTCAGCTGTCTAGTTTGAGTGAGCTTTTGGCTACTGTAGATTCAGACTCATGTTCTTGGCAGGCAGAAGTGGAACCTGACGTGGTTTGCCATGTTATGCATTCAGAGATTCTTTTCTGTTCACCTTTGTCGTAAAAAGTGGTTATTTGAGTAATTTAGCCATCCTGTTAGCTCAAACAATCTTGCCATGCTTCTCTGACCTCTCTCAACAACAAGGCATTTCCTCCCACAGAACTCCTGCTCACTATTGGTTTTCACACCATTCTGTGTGAATTCTAGAGACTATTGCGTATAAAAATAGCAGAAAATCGACACCAACAACATGATCAAAGTCACTTAAAGCACACTGTTTTCCTGATTCTGATGTTTGATGTGAACAAGAAATAAAGCTCTTGACCTGAGTCTGTATGATTTTATGTACTGTGCTGCTGCCACATGACAACTGGTTGATTGGATAACTGTATGACTGAGCAGCTCCACTTACCCTATAGGTGCACTTTGTAGTTCTACAGTTACAGACCATCTGTTTCTCTGCATATTTTTATTAGCCCCCTTTCATCCTATTGTTTAATGGTCAGAACCCCCACAGGACCACCACAAAGCAGGTATTATTTGGGTGCTGGATCATTCTCAGCACTGCAGTGACACTGATGTGCTGGTCTGAGTGGATCAGATGCAGCAGAACTACTGGAGTTTTTAAACACATCAGTGTCACTGCTGGACTGAGAATAGTCCACCAACCAAAAATGTCTGGCCAACAGTGTTCTGTGGGCAGCATACTGTGACTACTTATGAAGGACTAGAGGATGACCAACACGAACTGTGCAGCAACAGATGAGCTACTGTCTCTTACTTTACATCTACAAGGTGGACCAACAAGGTAGGTGTAAACAAGGTTGGGTCTATTTAAACACAGTATTTAAAACTGTGTTCCTTTTAGAAGTGGGCACAATACTTTTTCACATTTTCACAATATGTCTTATTTATTTTTCTGACATCTGAAAAGTTGGAACAGACAAAGTAGTGCCACATTTAAACAATGATATCAGAAACTATTAAATTAAATTATTTGTATTGAACATGTCACATACTACGGTGCAGAGCCCAACCGATATGAGCTAATCACAGATAAATTACGATTAGCGTTTATAACCACCTATGAATGACAATTAAAAAATAAATAAAAAGATGGAGGTCAGATCCTTCAGCCATGTTATGTGTGTTGTCATTGTGTAGTCTGCCCATCAGAGGGTGCTCTGCAACTTCCCTGTTGGCAACACATGTTCAGAATGCCCCAAATCACAATCAGCTGACTCAAGTGAAGTCGAGCTGAAATCATGCAAGTTCATGGTAAGTTGATAACTGTTGTGTAAAATGCATTATTTAAATAATAATAAAAATATCCCCATCACGTCTTCTCTTAGCCTTAATAAGCCTGGCAACATTCATGTCAGCCATGCCTGCTTTTGCTGCAGTAATGTGACGAATTGCACTACTTTGTCGAAATGTCCTACCGTAGGGCAAATTTATAGGTACCTCCATCCCTAAAACCTCTAGGTAGGATAACAGCTTAACTCACCATATCCAAAAATCTTGCCAGTATTAAAACTAAAAATCTCAAGTGAGTGTCTTGTTTAAATGTTCCCGAAAAAATGAGTAAGAGGCTGGCGAATGTCCTTATCTGAAAATGTTACCAGGATTAAAAGAATAATGAGGATATTTTGATAGTCTAAATCACCTTCACAGTGGGGTTAAGTAATAATATGACGCTAAGTTTGTTCCGAGTTAAAATGAAAAAGTCTCCATGCTATACTACTGATATGTGCATGCTCGGTAGGACAACGTTAGAACACCAGTGCTGTCAGGCAAACATCACAATTAGCCTATGTTCATCATTACGGTAGTTGAGTGGTGAGTGGTGTAGACTAAGCTGTTGACTAACTTGACTGTAGATTTATTTATGAAACAGTGTGGCAGATCTATCAAGTAAACAAACCACTGTCCTATCTTTTCTCCCTAGCTTGTCACTTCTATAAAGTCTCTAGCAACAGCACATACGGCAGCTTATCCTGCTGCTATTCTATGGGAATAGACCTCCGAGTCAGAAAGGCATCATTCCTCAAGCTAAATGACTTCGATTCTCGAGAAAAACCATCGTCATGACTCAGTCAGCACAAACACCGTCAGAAAAAAACTGGTAATGTTATACTGGCATTTATATAGAGATACATAATAGTTTTCTAAGTTACACGAACCAGTATATGCTCGACCGGCCTTGTGTTTGGTCTAATACCTTTTCACTGAGGCCGTTTGGTCTGACGGTGTTTGTGCTGACGTTCAGTTTCACCAGATCTGAGTCATGCCGATGGTTTTTCTCGAGACTCGAAGTCGTTTAGCTTGAGGAATGACGCCGTTCTGACTCGGAGGTCTAAGGACGTCCTAAAATATACCCCGTAACGCCGCCCAGTGCTAATTAACATATATTTGCATGTTGGTCAGTTTGTAAACGAAAAAGAAAAGTGGAAAATGTAAAGTAAATGTTCAGCAGGTGGCGCCGACATTCGTTTGCATTTGCCTTTTCATTCTGGTGCGTCAACGCCGAAAAACTGAATCGCAAACCGTCACTTTGCTGTTGATTTATCCATTTTACATTTTCATTTTGTCAGATATGCAGCCTGTCGCAATGAAAAAGAAATATGAACGTAAACACTACATTTTGATTTTAGTTTTGATGTGTATTCTGCATTTCATGAAGAAAAGCCAAAGCCAAAGCGAAGCTTGGATTTTCTTTTCTCTATTAGCTTTTTTATTTTAGATTTGGCCATGAAAAACCAGAATAACGACTAAAATGAAATGACAAATAGCTGTTTTACATTTATTTTTTATTTTTGTCATAAATGGCTCGTGCTCATGTGAAAAATGAAATTGCAAATGTAGGTATTTCATTTCATTTTCAATTATGGCAGGATATTGGCGCAGATGTTTGGAAAAAGAAATGGCAAAAAGAGGTTTGCATTTACATTTTATGGTTTTAATTTTAATTTCTTTTTTGGCTGGATTTGCCTCCCATACTATTCTACCCAAATGAAGAAAAAAAGAATATCGGTGGATATATTAGAGTTATCGGATTTTTAAATCCTCAAATATCGAAAGCGGTATAGGACTTTTAAGCCCGATATCGATCAAGCTCTACTACAGTACACTAAATCCAGTTAACTAAGACTAATTATGCTCTCTTTCTAGTCGAACAAGCAGTTGGGAAGTGTTTTTAAATACTGACCATGTCCACGATATGCTCAGAAAAGCATACTGTGACATACTGTCATGTAATTTATCACGGTACAGATAAATACTGCCAAACTGTCCAGATCTAGTTCCGTTAATAAATTCCTTTCTGGACCAAGTTGGTGGTTCTGAGACCACAATTATACAAATTTACATTTAACATGGGAGCGAACCTGTGTTTACGAACACGCCTCTCCTAAAGAAGTGATGAAGTTAACGTTAAGGTGTTTGTTTGTTTATAAAGCCCGTTAGCCGTCCGTGTCTCTACGAGTCTCAGTGAGCTCAGTGAGCGAGGCTGAGAGGTGGAGCAGCTGACTGACTCTCACCGTCTTTATCTTCAGTGAAGCTGAGAGTCTGAGTGCTGGGCGGCTCTCTGCTCCTCCTGGATGAGGCCGAGGCTGAAGGTTCCTCCGAGTCCTCCGCTCCGCTGGAGTCTGATCTGGCGCTCTGCTGAGGAGCTGTTGTGTTCGGTTTAGAGCTGCACCAAATCCCTCTACGCGGCTCGTTTAAATGCTTCGACGAGTCCGTTTGGTTACTGTCTTCACGGCCTCCTGCTTGTCCTTCATCCTCCTCGCTGGACTCTCTGCGCTGTCTGAAGTTCCTCCGTGTTTTCTTGTTGAACATGCTGCTTCAAATATGAACGGCAAAACAACGCACCGGGGTGAGCAACATTCTACTTCCGAGTCAGGATCAGGGATCCTAACTTCAAAATAAGAGTCCTCTCACCTCTCCTGTTCGAGTATATCAGGATATTTTTTATTTTAACTTGGAAACATTCAGACCCACCGGAGGAAGGACGTATGTCTATTTTTCTAAAGGGCTTCATATGTGTTTCATATGTGTGCACAGCTTTACTTTGAATTACGTTGGCTTGAAAAATCCAACTTACTGTTCTTCGCAATCCTCTTATTATTATTATTCTACGCTCAAAATATAAAATGTAAAGGGATCCGTACGGTTTTGGTAAATTAATCGTTCAAAGACGATATTTTTCCCATAGTAAATGAATGGGCGGAATGTTCGGGACATTCAAATCTACCTGCCACACGGGATGTCACAATGCACATCTCTCACACAGACACTCGTACACAGTACACACAGACTCACACGCTTCCAGCCTAATACACAGCAATATCAGCACAAATAATGAATTTAAGGTGATATTGTTTTTAAAGTGACATTGCATTTAGGTAGCACTGAATTTAAGGTGGCACAGAATTTAAGGTGTAACTTCATTTAAGTTGGCACAGAGTTTAAGGTGGAACTCCATTAAAGGTAGCACTAAAATTAAGGTGGCACAGAATTTAAAGTGGAACTCCATTTAGGGTGGCACAGTATTTAAGGTGGAACCCCATTTAAGGTGGCACTAAAATTAAGGTGGAACTACATTTAAGGTGGCACTGAATTTGAGGTGGAACTCCATTTAAGGTAGCACTAAAATTAAGGTGGCACAGAATTTAAGGTGGAGCTTCATTTAGGGTGGCACAGTATTTAAGGTGGAACCCCATTTAAGGTGGCACTAAAATTAAGGTGGAACTACATTTAAGGTGGCACTGAATTTGAGGTGGAACTCCATTTAAGGTAGCACTAAAATAAGGTGGCACAGAATTTAAGGTGGAGCTTCATTTACTCTAGCACCTGGCAACGCATTATCGTCCACCTTGGATAATGCAGGATCTGCTTAACACATTTTAGCAACCATCAACAGTCTTCCACCATTTTAATGTTTTAACGCAATTAGCTTTTTCAAGCCAACTTAAGGTTCATTCACAAACTTGCCCTTTCTAGTTAACAGATGTACACGCAGTTTGATTACATCTGATTAGTGTACAGTTCACAAACCTGTTTAGATAACAATTCAAAATAGAGGTGAAAATAACAGATAAAAATATTATTATTATTGGTTTAATAACAAAACACACATAGTAACACAAAAAACATAAGAGTAATATTTTAAAGCGTCCATAATCTGGATTAATGTCTTCATTGTTTTTGGCTTTTGCAGGGACACAACTGTCAGTGAGCCTAGCAGTGCACTAAAGTCTATTGCAAATAAATTAATTTGGTGCAAATTAAAAAAAATTCAGATAAAGACCTTCCACATTTATGAATGCAATGTTTACCACCAAGGCATAAAAGATTACTGCCTTTGTCCATTATGAGTGTTCAAAGAACCGCTTCAGTTGGAAAACAGGCAGAAATTGCACCGGATGTCTACTCTGAAAAGGAGTTTAGTGTCAGTTAACATCTGGACACAAAAGGTACAAAAAAAATAAAAAAAAATAAAAAAAAACAAAACTGCAGGTCATATGGGAGACATAGTATGTTTATGCACAAACATTTTACTTACATTTCTTGCTGTTGTTTGCACTGTATTTTGAGATACGTCAAATCATTATGACAACCTACATTATGTAAACATTCATTATTGTAAGTACATCATATGTACTATAACTACAATCAACAGAATTGTGGACGGTTACTTTCATTTAGTCAATACAAGCCTATGGATAGGTTCCACACTAACGAAGATTTTACAGGAACTCTTGTCCCTTTGTCTTCATTGCCACCATTAACAGTCCAGCAGGTGGCGCTGAAGCACGCGCATCACTGTAACCAAGTACTGACACTGAGGTGAAAATACTAAATCCTATTCATCGATCTACAGCTGCTGACCACACAAATATTAGTTCATGTAAATGAAGCAGCCTTCCAGTGATTTTGAATTTTGCAGAAAACCTGTTTTCTTGAACCAGCTCTAAACAAATCACAAATGTCAAGCCAGTTTGGTTTATAAAATGTCCTTTTTATTCATGTTACATAAGTGTTACACAGGGAGTAAAACATGTCCACAAGGCTTTTGGAGACTACAATTGATGATTAGCAAAACACAATAAGTGGTCCAAATCTATTCCAACACTCACTGGACAACCACGCACCCTCACACGTGCACAAATCTGCAATGAAAAGTACTTAAACTGGACCCTGATCTTGGCACATATGCCAAGTCCCATTCCGGTGTACTTAAACAAGGACATGCATGGGTCATACCTTATTCAACTTCCATCAATTCATTTAATCTCTTAAGTGCCAAACTGCTGTTTCCGCTTCCTTTCCAATTCATGCTTCAGGTGAAATGTGTATCATAACCATAGTGGGATGTGAGCTTTGAATTCAAGCAGCCATCAAAGCAAATAAAAAAAAAATAATAATAACAAAGTCACCAAACTGTGAGATGTCAGTTGATTTGGCCATGTTCAGTAGTGAAATGCTGCAGTGATATTAGTAACAGGTCACACATGCTCACATACACTAAATAAGCAAGTTCAAACTATAAAACTTGATTCTACCTAAGTGTTGTGCGGTATTATGCCCTGCTGAACACGCCCAAGTACTGAGAGATTGGGTGCTACCAGTTTTAGAGACAAATTAATTAGTATCAATGGGGATAGTATCACTACAAATCACAGTTCTATAGATTCTGAATATTCTACTTAAAGAAAGTTCTAATTCTCAGTTCAATTCAGTTCACAATGTAACAACCAAATTAGTGCTCCTGATTCCTCCCCTTTAAGAAAGGACACAAGCAAAAGTGACCACGCCAATGTTAACAGCCTCATGAAAATGACAGTGAGTAAATATTTTACCAAACACACTGAGCAAACACATTATCTGATGGCATCCATAAACTACACAAGGGTTTAAATTAGAAACCTCCATTTTCTGTACGTGGCAGTCTTGAGAGTCTGCTCAGTATTAGAAGTGAGACTCACCATGGATTTCAGTGGCATGACCCATAACACGGCAGTACTGAGGTGCGATATACGACCGTGAGAGGTGATATATGAGAACAGTATTGTGTGTGAGAGAACTGTTATCTAAATATTAAATATCCCTGCAACAAGTCTTAAACATAATCAACTGGAACAAAATCTAACGAAAAGCATGTCTCTCTCTTTAACTAAATTTTAAGATGCTGGTATAAAACGAAGCTAGTCATACTTTTCTACAGCAGAGACGGCACGCAACAGAAGGCCAGAACAAACACAAACCAAGGAATGGAAGGTCTTGCGCCCCAATTAATCTTTCCTCATCCAAAAGCTGCACTGTGAAAAGACTAAATGATTGGATTTTTTTTTCCATAAACAGCTCTTGAATGACAGTGGGTTTTTCTTTACTAGAAGAATTAAGGTAGAATAATAAGGAATGGAGATGTGTAAAAAGGTTTTTTTCCTCCTCATGAGCCTTAGTTTTCTCCTCCTTCGCCTCCCTCTCCCTCTTCCGCTGCGTTGTCAGATGTCCATAACTAGAAAGCGAGGGAAAAACAGGAGGGGAACAAGGTCAATCAACAGGCTTAGCTGGAAATTAAGACTTAATGCTGCACTTAATTCCACTTTTATCTACAGGTGTATGGAAAGATATGAATACCCCTGGTCAAATAACATGTTGCCCCTCCAGCTCACCCTCTAGGTTTGAAGAACCTCCACATAAAAGTAGATTATATATCAGTTTAGGTTCTAAGAAAAATCTTCAACTGGTATAGAACCTTTATATTATGTGGGGGTTTTCAACTTTTTCTTCAACTTTTTTTTTCAACATGTTTCTTCACACTCACATTTCCTTTACAAAAAATAGTTCTTCACAGAACCATTCATTCAAATTTTTTTACGGAACCAAAGGTAGTTCTTCTAAGAAATTGGGCAAAGGACCCTTTCTGGCACTTCTTTTTTGGGAGTGATTCAGTGGAAAGTCCTTAGGATTTTATTCTTGCTTAGTTATGGTTTCTTTTTAAGCTTTGCTGTTACATTGTCCTTAACAGAGGATATGATATAATTATGATCTTATTGTGGTATATAAAGTTATGTTCATGAGGAAAAACCTCCAGCTCATAATTAGCAGAGATGTTCTTATCTCCACAAAACAATGGGAATCCCAAATAATAATAATATGAAAAGTAGTTGTTTTTAAGAGTTTTCTTTTTTAAAAACATCATGTGAAAAATCCTGCTGCCCTTGACATTGTGTGAAAAGTTTATGATAAACAGACCAATAGAAACAGCCCACAATTACTTGTAATAAAATCTTTTTACTTTAAAATCCACTGAAAGCTGAGAATGCCTTTTCCTTATTCTGAAAACTTGCAGTTTTGGACATACAAGGTTTTGTTCCGACAGCAGCAATATGCGTATGAATATGCTTGCCACATATTGCCAAAGTGACCCAAGAACAATCCACTGCCCCGTTTCAGATACTGTATTCAGTACTGTACATAAAATGTCTCGGTTTTATTGGGATGTGGGATCTTGTCAAATTATGTTGCTGTTTGTTTGTCTGAATCCATTGAAAGCACAAAGAAATGCATTCATTTGTCTGAGTAAGTCAATACAGCAACCATTGATAGGAATAGAAACCCTATGATTGTTGTGACAACCAACTTTTAAAAACCTTTTACAGCTGGCCAATTTTGAGAACTAGACAGTCAGACCATTCATGTACTGAAAAGAAAAGGAAAAAAAAAGAGGGGGGGGAGAAGTCACTCACTGTGAGGTTGTCTCTTAGCAGCTGCATGATGAGGGTGCTGTCTTTGTAAGACTCTTCATTCAGTGTATCAAGCTCTGCTATGGCTTCATCAAATGCCTGCAAGCAAACCACACCCTAAATAGCTGCCCAAAAAGCCACAGACATGAGAGATTTCTTTCTTATGGCTGAGTTTAGTGTACCTGTTTGGCGAGGGAGCAGGCCTTCTCTGGGGAGTTCAGGATCTCGTAGAAGAAGACGGAGAAGTTCAGGGCCAGGCCTAGGCGAATCGGGGTGTGTTGGCTGCATCTCTGTCTTGCTGATATCAAATGCTTTTTGGTACGCATCCTGAGAGTTGTCTATGGTGGCTGGGGAACAAAAAAACAAAGTCAGCTATAGTGGACTAATGGCCATTTACAATGACTGACAGGATAAGAAGTTGTTTGTCCCATGAAAAAAGGAAAAAACAATGTTCATGACCTTTTTTGTTTCTTTTTTTTCCTTAAAACACTGTCGGGAAGAATCATGAGTCATATCAGACAAAATTTACCCAAGGCAGTTGCCCAAGACAAAATTAGCAGTGTCTCCTTTCTTTTTGGTGCTGAATGAGACACAAAGTCTCACTCATAGGTGTTGGCATAGTGACCTAGCATTAGAATGTTCAAGTTTGCTGACTCTTGCCTTTTAATGAACAAGTTTTTAAGGAACAAAAAATGATTCAACCAGCTAAATCTGTGAATGGAGAACATTAAAAAGACTTAGACATGGCACATTTAAAAGCACTATTCTAAGCTATAACCCCAAAAGGTTTAGAGCCTTTTCAACAAAAGCTTGCAGCTGCAATGAGCCATAAAAGAGAAATCAACGTTAATCAAGAACTAAGGTATGGAAAAGTTGACTTTTATTCTGAGACTGCAAAAAGAAAAACGGGAAAGATACTGGGGAAAAATTAACCCTGTATACCCTGATCATTTCTAAACTACTTGCATTGTGTATTGTATATATAACCTGTCATATATTATATATGTTGGTATCTCTATACTGCTATTCAGTGTAAATAAACAAACAATTTTATTAATAAACTAGTATTAATAAAGTAGTACCTATAGTACTAATGCCAGTTTTAGGAGCCCTGTGCTTTCCCTTTTTTGTTGTTCAGGATGGACTAGGGATGCACTGACACGGGGATTACAGACCACTGCAGATATCCCCATATACTTTTCATGTACATATCTACTAATACTGATACATAAAAATGTAGAAATTAATAAAACGGACACGTTAGCGCAGTGGCCATGCGCCTCCTAAACAAATGGTCCTTAAACCGGTTCTCCACGACCCCAAGACGGTCAGATTTTTGCCCCAACATAACTTAACATACAGGGACAGAGCAAAAATGATAGCTGTCTGGGGGGGCCTGAGGACTTGGTTTGAGAACCACTGACCAAGACATTCTGCTATTCCAGAATACAATAAATACATTAACAAATACTGGTTTGAAATATCGGTCAAATCTTAACATCTGGCAAATAACAAAATATGATTCTGATAGCATCCTTGTTGTTTAACAACCCGTAGGCCATGGTCTACTCACAAAAACAAAACAAGAGTGCCTGTAAAGCCAACTATAGTTTGAGGAGTGATAACCTACATTACAGATGAAGAAAAATGCTTGGTTTGTTTTCTTACCTTTCCTGTCATCTCCAGAGGCGACTTCGGCAAGGTATCTGTAATAGTCTCCTTTCATCTTCAGGTAAAAGACCTTGCTTTCGGGATTTGTGGAATTCTCAATTAAATATTTGCTCAGCAGCTCCTGCAGAAGACATGAAAGATTAAATTAAACGAGGTCAAAGTTTCTAATAGAAAAGAACCACAACAATGTACTTAACAGAATTAAGGCAGCATATGGAGTGTACAAGTACGATTATGTAAAACACAACGGACTGCAGATGTACATCACTATACTTCTGTCTTACGCTCTTGGCAGTTACAGCCCTCCGGAGCGCTTGACCCAGCTTTTGCCCCAGATCTAGAAACACTGTCCTTCTAACGCTGCACAAAGAACACGCAAACCTGCATGCTAACCTGAGAGCAATGTTGTATTCTGCATAATAGGAGAACATTCTTCAATACAGGGTGAGAAGCAAATCTTCGGGATAAGCATTTTTGCTATTTAAATAATCACATTTTCATATTTTATTGAATGGTATTTAAATCTTGCAAGAAAATATTTTACATTGAATAAATTTCAAGAAAAGGAAAGACCACATACATTTATGGTGTGCAGCAAGCAAAGACGATGATCCATATGCATGAATCATTTGTCTGCTCTGGTGATTTATCTTTGTGTTTTAGACATGTGATTTAACATACTATCGGCCTACAGAATGATCACTTGGAATTTCACAACTTGTACTGTACAAATTTGTCATCTTTGGATTGGAAATATTTTCATATACAGCTCCACCTTAATCTCAACCATGACATTTTCCATGGTTCTCAGTCAAAAACATAAAACTTACCAGATAATATGATTTCACATTTATTCCAAACTACACATGCCATGTTCAAAGCTGTTAAGACTGTTTGCATATCAATATATCCTAGGCATGTAACAATACAACATATTGCATTTTAATACCGCTTATATATTACTGATAATGGGGGAAAAGCAAATCTGAACACCTGTTCATGTACATCCCTATAAAGCAAAGCCTTTGTGTGTTTTATGTTGCAACCAGTACAATATTGTACTTTTATTATGTTGAATAGTTTAACAAACTGAAAACAGAAACATTAATATATTAACATTAACATTCTAATATAAAGGCCATTGCGAAAGAACAAGAAAATGTGAAATATTCAGATTCCATTACTATACATGGCAGAAGTAACAAATTAAGACACACCACATCAAACTGAATTATAAATTTTGTGAATCATTACACATTTAGTAAAACTGATGTACATAATGCTAAACAAGGTAATTCCCTCACTTTCTGTGTAGTGAGCTGCAGTCTAAGGTAATTTAGTCTAGCTTGTAATGAGTTAATGAATGAAAGCTAAGTGGAAGACAAAGCCGGTCTCTTGGAGTTAGCCATTAGTCTAGCACAGAGACTAGCTGGCTTTCTGTATGCAACTCCTACAGCACCCTCTTTGAACACTGAAGTTTAAGAGATGCATGTCTGAGAGAAATGACTTTTGGACAGCTGCTTCAGGTGATGCCACAGTCTCAGGCTACAAGCAGAGAGCCTTTACAGCCTCTCAGCTAATATCAATAACGGAAATGGCTTGTAATATTTAACAAATTTCAGCAGTGCCTTGATGGCCGTAGATAAACACTAAATGTCAGAGAAATTTTGGATGTAAAAACATTTAGCACAGTTTTTGCAGAGCCCAGAAAATTGTTTGATTTGAAAAACTATACATAAATACAACATACTAATCATATATACCACAGTAATCTTATTTATACAATGACGAATTTTGACCACAACGCCCACTACTGGATCTACACTGAGATAAATCAAGTCTAGTCACTCAAGGCAACAATCAAGGATCTAGATTCAAAATGTGTCTATCCATCAGGGCAAGAGTGAAGCGTAACAGCTTTAAGGCACTGTTGAATACGAAATTAACAGACACCCCAAGGATGAGACAGATCGTCATGGACTCCAACGCAGGCCCAGTATCTCAGATGCAACCCCCCCTTCCTCTACATTCAGTGAAAGGGAAATTAGAAGACAATGTTCATCAAGAGCTGAGTATTACACACCCTCCTCCAGAAGTTCATGACATTTCTTTATTACAAGACACACACACACACACACACACGCACCTCCCCTGCCGCAGGAAGGATAGGGATGACACTCTTACACCAAACCTTAGCTGTGTTCCAAAAGCAATGTTGCAGCTAAGATACTGAACTTGGACCACTAAGTTAGCAATGGTATATGAACTTTATCCATTCATTTAAAGCAACTAAATGGACTATGAAAACACACCGCTAAACAAATAATTTAAAAGATTCAAATCTTGAACTTGCATCATTACCGCTATCTAGGCAAGCAAAAACTCAGGTCTCCTTCTCAGAAACTAGCAGAAAATCGTAAAAAGGGATGTATGTGTAACTGTGTTTTACAAATTGAAAACTGGAATATACAGACTGGAACATACTTAAAATTGTAGTTATTTATGTAATGTAAATATTAGTGTTTTAGTGTTTTAAAGTTAGTACTGAGAAGGTACTGGTTAGTATTCAAAGCATATAAAATGCTGTTCAGGCCAGCCTTAATAATAACTTAATTTTGAGCACTATGCTTTCATTATGTGTTCTTAACAGCATGTGTACACTGCACCTTAAAGGAGTTTGGTATCCACAGACATTTTCCTCTTTAGTGAACTGTCTTAACAGCTTAGATATTTGAATACAGCATGAGTACACCAATCAGGCATAACATTATGACCACTCCTTGTTTCTACGCTCATTGTCCATTTTATCAGCTCCACTTACTATGCAAGTGCACTTTGTAGTTCTACAGTTACAGACTGTAGTCCATCTGTTTCTCTGCATACTTTGTCAGCCCCCTTTTAACCTGTTCTTCAGTGGTCAGGATCCTCATGGACCCTCACAGAGCAGATACTATGTGGGTGGTGGGTCATTCTCAACACTGACGTGGTGGTGGTGGTGTGTTAGTATGTGTTGTGCTAATACGAGTGGATCAGAGACAGCAGTGCTGCAGCCATTGTTGAACTCTCCACCACTGGCCTACACAACCCCTACTGTGTCCCTGCAACTTTAAATAAGATCAATACTGATCAATAAGAACAGTGATCATTAGCAAACAAAACCAACAGTCAGTAATTATGTTTTCTCCAAAGAGAATACATGACTGGGTAAAACTTAATACAAAGTCTGAATTAAGGCGTTTTGTTCTCTTCACAGATGTCTTTCAAAAAGCACAAGGAACTGTATTAAACTATAAAAAAGTAAAATATGGTTTCTAATACTATTAAATGCAGTTATCTATGAACAAAAACCTTCAAAAAGTATTTACAAAGAATAAGGCTTCAAGATAGCTGTGACTGCTATTCTTAGCTTACCCACTTTTATAGATAACAGTAAGTATCAGAAACCACTTAAGCAAGTCTATTTATGATTACCTAAAAACTCAACACAGTTTAAGGCAAGTTTGAGATTTAGGCACGTATGATGGTAAATGGTGGGATATAAGCTCATTGCTTGTAAGCTACATTAGCAAAGCTTAAAAAATTATAATTAAAAAGAAAAAAAGGCACACTTGAGACACCAAACATGTCTCGGCAGTTACATTACATTTAAGGTAAGGGGAAAGGTGTAAATTTGATTTTTTTTTCCAGCTGCCCATATTGGGAAAATAATGAAGAAAAAAAAAAAGAAAATTTTGATTAAGTGGTGTGGCATGGGTGAAAAACCAAAATAGGAGTCATTGAACAAAATCCCTGACACCACAAACACACAATTTTAAGTGGTAATGGATGCCACAGTTCAAGAAATACTAAAGCAGCACCTTCTATTCTTGTAAATAAAAGCCACAAGGCAAACATGGGCACCAACGAAATTCTGAACAAGAAAATCAGCTAGTGCACTCAAGTAAACTGCATCTAAATTAGCTTCAATGAGTTGGCCTATCATTTCATGACCCCACTGACATTATGGAAAACCATCATAATAATTTTCAGCCTTAGCAGGTCCTGAATGTCAAACCAGAAGCACACAAAGAAATAAGAGTCCTTAGAGAGGAAAAAAAGGTTGTTGCATATTTAGACTTGTTCCATCTCGTACAGTGGAGTCTAGGAGGTTTGCCATAAGACTTCCTTCATTCTTCACATTCATGGGATTCTGAAGAAACTGAGATGGCTGTCTCTGGCAGCCATGGTCAAGCGACGAACAGGCTCACTTTAGAGATAACATCTAACAGTTCTACAGAGTAGTCCAAGCATGACCAGTAGCTCAGACCATCACTCAGAGTCAAAAACTCCAACTGTAGTCTGACTACAATTCAATGTGTGCTGCCCCTGCACTTTTTTCTAGCCACTTAAATGGAAAGACTCATTTTACAGGCGTGTGATTCTGCCTCAATCAACTGATAAGACATACTCTGTATGCTCACCATGGTTTCCCTCACCATACCTCTTGGTAGGCCTGGAGAATTAAACAAAAATGACCAATGATCAATATCAGTAATGTATGTTTGAAGTACTTTTAATAAAATAACAGTTGCTCTGTTCCTCAGTCCAGTATTAGTAACAAAGGCTTAAACTACTTCTAATCACTAGATAGAGAGGTAGAAGTCTATCCATTCACCAACAACAGCAGTATGACAACTGTATTGTATACTTTCATTTTCAAATATTCTATCAAATGTTCTCCACTAATCAATATTTTAAGATCAAGGCAAGATTCATTTGAATAATTCACTGAAAAAAATAAATCAGATTTATTATTATTACTGTTAATTTGCACTTTTCCCCACTTATTCTTTTGATTTTTTTGTACTTCAACATAATTCGCTATAATAAAAACCTTGATAATACAGAAAGGTGAAATATGGTCACTGGGAAAAGTACTAGAGAGTTCAAAACAATTTTTCAGGCACTGTGTCAAGAAATTGAGGGTGATACAAAAACCAGCTGTTTTTTCACAGTGTGCCTACAGTGATGACAACTGCTTGCCACTAATGACTGGATAGCACTCTCAGATGTTTTTGTTTAAAGTGAACATTTGAAAAAAAACAAAAAAAAAAACCTTACTTTCAGTGTTTGCGCGCGCGCGCGCACACACACACACGCACACACACACACACACACTTGCATATCTGGAGTGTCTACCAGCAAACTGTGGGCTGCCTAGGTCAGAAAACATGGGATTCAACAAGCCATTCAGATTTGACTCCCCTCCCTACATCAAGTGCAGGCTCATTTTACTGTCCCCAGCCTTAGAAGACAGAAGACTTGAGTGGGTAAAGTTTATTTTTGATGGCAATGTCCCGGCTACAGTCGTCAAAACCTAACCACTTTGTGTCTGACTTGTTTTCCAACCTGGGTCAGTACAACGCAGGACTAGCAACTAAACTTTTACTAAAGGGGATCAACACAAACTGTCCATGGCAAAACTGCAGAAGAAGGAAATGTAACTATTAAAAAAATAGTTATACTATGTGTTTATTTAGGAGTTTAGCACTAGCTAATGCCAACAGCTGAGGTAGTATATTAAAGCAGACATAATTTTCTAGCACGTTATTGGTGTTACTCTGCAGGATCCACAATAATGTTGATGCTATTTAGAAGTCAGCTTCTTATTCGCCAGCTTATTATTTGAATTTTCCACCTTAAAAGGTGCAGCAGTTACATTCTGGTACCTGAAAATTTGAACAAGAAGCCAGCGAACAGAAAGCCAACTTCAGCCTCGTAATGAGAGAACGGGTGTAGATGTCTCAGGAGTGTTTCTTGCTGCTGATTTTATACAGATTCACAAGAAGTTTATGATTTGTCACGAATCACTGAGGCCATCTGCCCCCTGTCCCACATTTAGGTCGTCTGCAGCCAAAGTTACAGTTGTGTTCCACTCAGCTAATCAGGGGTTAGCAATGTTAGCATGTTGTGCTAGAGGAAAACATGCTTTCCATCCATCTTTACTTTGGCAAATGGGCAAGCTTTGCTCAACAGTTTCCATGGTAGTGCGAAGCCGTACTCACGTCTGCACTCCCCGCGGAGGGGGTGGGGTGAGCAGTGGCTCATTATCATTTAAAGGAACTGGCACACAAACCAGCCGTTCTGAACGGGGCTGTTTAGACAGGGTGAGAAGGGTGCTGTGGTGCTTGATCCTTGGGGTATTTTGACCAAAGTATGTCACAGACATTTCAATGAGAACCCAAGGATACTGTGCTAACTTGTGGAAAAGGGGTATGTCACCTTTAAAAAGTGAAATCTCTGCATTAAATGGCAAGTACTTCAATGACATTCCAGTCCATCATTTTGGAAAAGGAAACATGCCCAACCTTGGGTATCATCCCAGAGCAGAGAAAGTTAAACTCACTCTGCCCCTGGAGCTAGTTCTGAGAAAAGCTCCTCTGAGTTGTGGAGGCAGAAATCAGGAAATGTAACACACACACACACACACACACACACACGATCAGGCATAACATTATAACCACCTCCTTGTTTCTATGCTCATTGTCCATTCATCCATCATAGAGCAGGTGCTATTTGGGTGGTGGATCATTCTCAGCACTGCAGTAAGTTAGTGTGTGTTGTGCTGGTATGAGTGGATCAGACACAGCAGTGCTGCTGGAGTTTTTTAATACCTCAGTGTCACTGCTGGACTGAGAATAGTCCACCAACCAAAAATATCCAGCCAACAGCATCCTGTGGGCAGCGTCCTGTGACCACTGATGAAGGACTAGAGGATGACCAACACAAACTGTGCAGGAGCAGATGAGCTATCGTCTCTGACTTTACATCTACAAGGTGGACTGACAAGGTAGGAGTGTCTAATAGAGTGGACAGTGAGTGGACACAGTGTTTAAAAACTCCACGTCAGTGTTACTGCAGTGCTGAGAATAATCCACCACCCAAATAGTACCTGCTCTGTAAGGATCCATAGGGGTCTTACACACACACACACACACACACACACACACACACACACACACCTTGGCTACGACCGAGAAGATTGAGAGCGACTGTTATTCCACAAGATTGCTCCAAAAAGTGAGAAAGTTCCTGTAATTGGCAACAAGCATCTTATTGCTGACATACCAATCAGCTACTAATACGCATTACTGACCACTGCAGCATTAACTACATAGCCCTGAAGCATTCCTTGTCCTGCTCTTAAGGGCGAGTAAAAACTGAACGCATGCTGCTGGCTGTCTGGACAGGAGGAGGGTGTGGACTGGCCTGCTCCCAGAGCCAACACTGAGGATGAGTCAGTGACACACCCTTCAGGCCTCATAGACCAGAGGCCAGGGAGTACATGAGCACGAGTGCTCACCAAAGCCATGCAGAAAAAGGGGGATCAAATCTAGCTTGTTCTAAAGCCAATGATGATTACCAAGTGTAGAGCACATGCAGTCTAAACAGATCACCTAAAATGGTTTCAAATCTCTAGTGAGGCATTCAATACAGATCATCTTACTAACGACCTTTGAATTGTCAATAATTTACTTCCACTTTCTTAAAGGCTCTCAAATTACATGACTAAAGAGTCATAGTGACAGACACTGACACTGACAAGACAAATCTTGTGGGACATATCTCTGATGCATCATGCTCAACACCTACTGGCTTCAAGTTTGCACAGCCACATGCACTCTAGTCCTACAACACAAATCAGATGAGTCTTTGGGAAAATTCTTGACCATTTTTCAGAACCAGGGGAATTTCCCTAACACGCACCCCACTATACTATATACACACTACAGGAAATCCTGACATGTGCTGAACAAAATTTCTAAGGGCTAAAAGAGCAAAAGGACTTGAGACATGGTACTAGAACATTTGGTATAAACCAACACCCATTTTGTCATCAATGTTCAGTTCCAACCATCTCACCTGAACACACCCACAAAAATGAACTTTAGCCACTTACAGCAACAGCTAATCAGACTTCCAAAGAACATTATGCGTTTCATATATTTATCTCACTGGAGGTAGACACATCCTTTTACGGGGAAGTGACCCTAAAAATAGAATGATTTACAAGAAACCTGGAACGTGCCATTTGACCTCTCACTCAGAACAATCGATATGAATGCCAAGAATATAACAGCCCCTGGGGAAGTGCGTGCTTTAATTACTTTGGGAATACAAGTTCTTTTTTAATAATGCTTGTATTGCTGAATGCTAGCATTCAGGCAACATAAAATAGGCCTACAACGCTAAATATACCAAATGTTACAATGCTGTTAAATGACTCCCCACAGCAAGAAAGGACAAGCTCCACTTAATTTAGGCATTACTCTCAAGTGAGAGGAAAAAACTAGGCTGCTCTTACATCACAAAAAAAGAGGACACTTCTTTTGTAATACATGTCCTTGTAGGCTAGGAAGAGGAAGCGCCTTTGAAAAAAGTGGCAGCAAGTAAAAATGCTCAGCAATATTAAACTTTAATCAAAGAACAAACGCTTGATCCTATTGATCTAAGCATTTGCTTTTCACAAAAGACTAACAGTAAATATGTACATCATTTACTCACCAATACATCATTGCAGATGTCTCTGAGTTCAGACTCCACTTTCTCCCGGTATTCTTTGACCATCTGAAGCTTCTTGTCGCTCCCTTCGGTCTTCTGCTCAATGCTGGATATAACCCTCCAGGCTGATCTCCGGGCACCTACCACGTTCTTGTAGGCAACGGACAGCAGGTTCCTCTCCTCGTTCGACAGCTCGGTCCCAGCCTCCGTCACCTCCTTCATGGAAGCCGCCATGTCATCATAACGCTCGGCTTGCTCTGCCAATTTGGCCTTCTGAATAAGCTCTGTTCTATCCATTCTGTGTTTGCTTTCTTAATTTATCTGTGCTTGAGCAACAAAAGTCTATGGGCCACGAAAGCCTAACAGCTGTTTGAGAGAGTAGAAGTGGTCTGTTGGCTAATCAAATGACTGGAGTGGACAACGTTCCTTCTTAGTCTTCAAAGAAGCTGAAGGAAAGAAAGAAATTATGTTGGTAACTTTGGGTTTCTTTCTAATCTAAACATGAAATTCACATACATAGTGCATGCCAGTAAAGTAGCTACTGGAATATTCAAATAATAAACACTCATAAAAGCAGACAATGAAACTGGATGATTCAGATGAAGAGTGCTGTAGGTGCACCACACCATATTTCAATGGATGGCACATGGTACACTTGAATTGGACTGGTACAGACCACACATTCAAGTTGGATCAATCAGCAGCCATGAACAGGCAGAAATGAACTGGGAGTTCTCTGCACTGCACCTGCAGGTCTATACTGTCCTGCAGTTTAGTTCAGCTCTAGCCATAACTTTACACATCTGCCCTTGATCTGAATACAGATTTCAGAATATACTGCGTGGAAAGCCAAGTTTTTAGGTTAAATTACTGTTCAGATCACAAATACTTGGTACTGGCAAAAATGTAGAATGTCAACATGTAAATGGGGGGCCCCAAGTTTTGAACACAGAACATGGATGAACATCCTAAATATGCCCCTGCTTATTCACTTTCATTAAAGCCAACATAAGTGATGCTGTTACTGGAGTCAGTGAAGGTAGCAACCGTTGCTACAGGCAGAGGATTTGTGACTGCTGCACTAACCAATCTAACCAGTTCTTTTTTGTATACTACAGTATGTAAAACGGTAATGTTTAACGAAAATATGACTATTCGATATAATTTTCAGTCATTTCTGTGCCCACATTTAACAAAAATCCTTTACATTTAGTTAAACAATTACCCGAAAAGTACGTGAGGTGCTGCGTGGTGACTGAGGGACCCTTACACTAAATTCAGCAGAAACCAAACCCAGCCTTTCTAGTTAGCTATCTCTTCTCTGTCCTTCACACAGGTGAAATCCGCGCCCTTCAGTGCTGGAGACAGTAAAGGTTTCTGATTGTTTGGTCAGTTATAAAAAATAACTTCCAACTTAACTTACTTGCGCACTCCAAACTAATGTTTTATTTTCATCTTGTGTAACAGACGTAAACCAAGAAAACTACCCTCTAACGTTATAAATGCCAAGACACCTGAAAAAAAGCAATAAAGCTAACTAGAAAAGCAGTAAAACAGTATGAAGCAGTTTGAAGACGTACGACCAAAGACGTTTTAAGCGAAAATCCTAACATGTTACACTTTTGGGCCAGTTACTCTGGTCTTCCCACGACAACAACTAACGTTACAGCTACAAGAAACCTGACTAGCCAGCAGCTAACCTATACGGTCTTCACTCACGGCGAGCCCTGGTTTGGTTTGCTGGCTCGCACAGCTAAGTTAGCCAGGCAGCTAACAGGGATAATATCTGCCTAAGCTTACTACCGAATAGTCTTAGCTAACGATAGCCAGTAGCACATTCTGGTGAACAGCGAACTGTTTCCATTAGTATCGAGCCCTCAGCCTGGGTAAGTCGTGCACTCGACGGCAGCCTCCTTCAATTTCATTGTTGAGCACCGAGTTAGCAAAGCAGACGCTCCGTTAACGTTTGACTCTAACTAGCGAATCCAGCTCTCCGGCCCTTTAACACAAACACTTGGCACTGCTATACAACAGCATAATCATCGTTCAGAAGACATGAGCATTAGATATAACCTGATAAAAAGCTCCTAACCTCAGAAGTGATGATTTCCGCTCCGCCGGATTGATCCTCTTTAGACTTGGATGGATGATAAAAAAACGCATTAGTCACCATCAACCGAAAGTGTTGTTGTAGGCCGTCGCTACGCGTACCGTCCTGCCCAATCAGCGCTCGCGCTCCCGCCTTGTCACCCGTTATTGTTCAAAATATCGCCCAATAGGCATTCAGCGCGGGGCCTGGGGGCGGGACCGAGCGCTCATGTTCGATTGGCGTGAAGGCCGCGACCGTGCGTACACGGGGTTTCCTCCAATTAGAGCAAGGGGAACAACGTCACTGTTACCATGGCGACCCCCTCCCCCGTCCAGCATCATCAGCATCATGAGGAATGGAGAGTGGAGCAGGTTTTCATCTCTGCAGTAGGTCATTTAACTAAGACTGGGTTAATTTAACGTTTGAAATGAAGACGGCTTGCTTGTTGTGAATGGGCTTCAGTTCAGATGGATGTTTCGTGTTTGTTTTCTCCTGCCACAGCTCAGTTCGCTGAAATCAAGACTGTCCTTTTAGGCCAAAGAGGCCTGTGAGCTCACTGGTTGTTGATGTGATTAGGAAAGGTCAAATATGGGTTTTGGGGCGTTGCTTAGCCGAGAGTACAGCACTGTACAGATACTAATGCAGGTTCATGAGTATGACTTATAAAAAAGACAGAGGCGACACGTAACTAAATTATACACTGTGCTTTACTTTGAAAGTAAAATTTTTCACCTCTCCAAGTTAAAGGGGAATTCCACTAATTTTTCAACATTTCTGAATAATGCAGTCCTTGGGATATAAACAGAGGCATTTAAAGTGGTTTGATGTGAAATAGTTATTCTAGAGAAACTTACAGACAGGAACCAGGGGTCACAATGTCGACAACACAAATATAGCCATTTTAGTTACTATCCAAAACTACAAATTAACCTACTGAATTTTATTTGTCATATTGATGATGGTAAAATAAAATCTGAGAAAATAAGTTTTCTTTGGGGACTGTTTTGCCTCACAATGCCCTGCATGCACCCCTCCACCTTGAATGGATTTTTAAAAATCAGTTAAAACACATTTTAAGACAAATCTTGACCACAAAACTGTCATAAAACAATGTCTCAGACATCAGGCAGCATATATCTAACCATATCATGGAATAACTTTCTGTGAGGGAGGCATTAAACTCTTCAGATGTCTGGTTCCTATCACCACCACTGTGAACAATTCTGACTCGGTAAGTCTCTCTAGTACAGAACAGTTCACATCAAACCACTCTGAATGACTTTGTTTGCATCGCAACCATTTAATTATGTACATTTTCTGAAAAATCAGTTGAGTTCCCCTTTCTGTGTATCAGCTCAGCCTGGACCTGCTTCTCATTCTCATGTCTCTGAGCAACAGAAACTGAGAGTGTGACGTGGCAGTGACCCTCGATATATGAGAGAGTGATAATTGTCGTTTGTATCCCCCCCACAGATCATGCTGTGAGCCTATATGGTGTTTTTTTTCTCACATGCTTGAACATCTTTGTCCATTCAGAAGTCACATTTTTGAAAGAGTTAACACACAGTACTAATCAGATCACTTACCGGCCAAATTCTTCTCTCCAACATGCTCTAAACCTGTGTTCTACCAAACAATACAGTATACAATCAAGTGAATAAACTCTTTCAATCGGTAAACAATGACGCTTACACAGCCTTCATTTATGTGGTACATCAGTGCTGGATTATCTCTTGGTACATTACTGTAAATAGAATGACCTTTAACGGCAAGTTATTCATTTTGCAGCGTCAGGATAAAAGAAAATGCATATTTAATAGAAAATTACACATAAGTCAACTAAATATATCAGTCGTACAAGTTGGTTGCATTTTCTGCTTCTCACAATCCAAGTAATTCCATTTATAAATTTAGTCCATAAAACCTTACTCCACATCTCAGATGTACAGTTTTGGTGTTCTAGGGCAAACTATTTTCTTTTTTTTTTGTTTTTGTCTATTTCCTAAGAGCTTCTTGACAGCTACACGTCCTTCCAGACCAATAGCGCTGAGTTGTCTTCTCACAGTGGAAGAATGGACAGAAACACCAGTGGATTTTTTCAAATCTAAAGAGTGGAGCTTGGTCTACTTGATCTTGCACAAGCTGATAGGAGACCAATTTTCTCTCTAATTTTGTGAAAATGAAGAACTTCATCTTCACTTTTAAGGACGCTTTACAAACAGAAAGTAACAAAATACATAATCAGTGATAAATAAAACAACACAAACCCCTTGTACTTAATGGTGATTTTGACTTGAAATCAAATACATTTTAAAAAGGGTGCTCTCTGACTTTGGCACAGTACTGTATATCAAGTCAATGTCCTCCTAACTCCACCAAAAAATCATCCAAAATATCCTAGAATAACTCATTACTTACATGTGCAATATGTAAGTAAGTAAAAAAAAGAACAGTGGTGCTGTAGTGAAACATTCTGGTGAATGGAAGGGATGCAGGGAGAGGAGAACAGACGTGAGCATGAAATGACTCATTCGGGTTGGCTGGGCTTTCTGTTGTCAGACACACTGAATAATGGTTAAGGCACAGATCAGAGCCGGGTGTGGCAGGGCACAGATGTCCAAAAGGAGGACAATGGTGATCTCGGCCTGATTACCCAGAAGAGCAGACAGGACTGTTTCACTAACATACTCATAAGCCACCAGTCAATCCTGTTCAAGAGTTGTGACAATGGAATACACGAACATCTGCTTTTTTAAGTCAAAGCTTGCTTCGGATTCCCCAGACTGCCTCTGAGGGATCAGTGTTAGTTTAATGGGGGGTGTGGCAGGATGCGTAGAAAGTGTTTGACAGCCTGACGTTGTCCGAACACGTAGCCATTCATGTCAGAGCAAAGTAACTCTCTCAGATGGTGATACAAAATCTCTGAGACACTCTGTGAATATTGTAACCTCATCCAAAAACACACTCACAACCTATGTCATAAGTGATGGTGAGCTGTAACACCCTTTCATTCAACTGATTCATCAGCCTCTTAAGTGGTTTTTGCATTTAATCACATCTGTTGGCTTGACTCAACCTTCTGTTGGCCTCAGTGTGTTCACACCCTGTTTGGCTGGAGTCCAGCTACTCTTCTTACTCAGAGAGGAAGAATACTGCTGACTTGCTGTCAGCACAGACAAAAACCCACAGAAAGAGGGGAGGGATAGCCCCTCTTAAAGCTTCTTTGATCCATCCAAAGGGATGAGGATCAGTTCATGATTTATACAGCAACACAGCATGTCTTAAAGGCATAAAGAACAGGCAAGGATTGGAACTTAAACATGTTGGTTGTAAATTTAGACAGAAAGGTGCATGCTTCATTGCTATGAGTACTAGCAGAACATCTGAATTGTGCAAGAAGGCATTGAAGCAATAGTTTGGAGCAGTTTGGAATCAAATTTACATTTGAAATAAATACCTTTTTATATAAAATAACTTTTATATATCTTTTTAAAGTTGCCTTGCAAATGTAGCCAAGACCTGTTTGGTGCCCAAAGTTAGTTTGGAGGTACAAAGTTAATATAGTTAGCAATGAATGGAAGCATCAATTAGCATTGTGCAGACTGTGAAAAATCACCAGACACTTGCCTCAAACTGTGTCAAGAATTCTCAAATATCCCATGCAGAAATCTGATCTGTGACAATATATAGGTTTAAAATATATGACACATATTAGCATAAGGTTTTCCCTGGACATATATGTGACATATAAGACAACTTTGGCCATTTTCAGTTATGAGACAAATCTTTCAATCATGCATCAACATATCCAAACATAAATGTTTAACACATATATTGAACAAAATATGATAGAAAGTGTTATTCATATGACCTATATTACTCATGTGTGCCATCTTCAGCTTGGATTATAGAATACAAATTTGAATGCATCTTTGTTTCTTCCACATACTTCCTAATGAAATGAAAATGAGTATAATAGCTACATAAATCTAAAACATGCACTTTGTAATGTATTGTCCCATCACACATTTAAATAATTTAATATATAGAAGTGAACAGATAACATAGTAACAATTGTAACTGTACTTGGATATATTCAACAATGTATCAGACATATGTATATTATGCATATATGTACAACATTTGATACTTAGATATATGTACACAAAATATACATACATATACTGAAATATATGCTTGATTGTTTATGATATGTGGCTGTATGGACATATATCAGACTTGATTATGTCTATTTGACCCTGTATAACACACTGCTATCTCTAAAAAATGGAGAAAAGTATGTCACACAGCAAAAAATAGTAGACATTTTTTGTCTGGGCTTTTATCTGTTTTATTAGCACATCTTTACTGATGAACTACACTTAATTACTGTGAACATAACTTAATGTAAGCCTATATGCCAAGAGAGCTACACTTTATACTGTTTAATTTGCCTCACCTTTTTCAGACAAAAGCTGCTAAAGTACTTGTTTGTTTAATATGTATTTGGGGGTATGTGGAAAATTTCATACTTTTTTTTGCAGAACTATCGCTTCAAATATAGCAGTAAATTTTCTGAAGTAAGGCCAGTTGTCCTAACAGAGTTAGGTCACCAGTGATAGTACTGACCTAGAGGATAGAAGTTTGGTGCAGTGCAGGAGATCAATAGGCTACATCAGCATGCTGACGCAGAGAAACAAACACGTCAGCTCTGCCGTGACTGCTTAGGCTAAGTCATCATGTTATCAGTGTGTGTGGTATGTGTCTCATCCCAATTTCATTTGTGAGCATTTGTAGATTCAGTAGGGTTGATGCATTTACCTTTTCCTGGCCAGCTTTCACCCTTATTCAACTCTGCTCTGTATTCTGAGTCTAATCAATAAGCATGTAATTATGCACTCATGATATTTTGAACATAAAAAGCTGGCAGTGTGTTGCATGATATTGATGCTGTTGCGTATGAAAGCTCATTCCTACCAGGCAGAGGAGAAAAAGTCAATATTTTGAGAAACAAGTCATTATTTCAACATCGAAATTCATTATTACAAAATATTAAGTAATTATTTTGAGATACAAAGCCAATATTTTAGAAAATAAGTCATTAGTTTGAAAT